ATTGATGGGACAGAGAGCCTATTTGCAGCTAAATTAACTCAGGGGACCTCCAAATCAAAATCCGTCTCGAGCAAAACACCTCTTAGGCTTCTAGGATAGCTCTTACTGATTTTAGAAGAGTAGAATGCATGTACCCAAGACAACTTATCATTACGGAAAACTACATAGTTTCTTTGGGGGTAAGGCATTATCAAAGTAATACGCATTGCAAACCATTCATAGGAACTGACAACTTAATAGCAGATCGTACCTAACCATAAGTGAGTTAAGCAGGACAAAAAAGATTCAAAATGAGAAAATATGAACAGCGGATAACCAATCCCCTTTTAAGTCAATGTTCTGACATTGTACATTCGGGCTGGGTATGATCCAAAATGTCCGGCCGGTCCATATGGCCATCCCATGCACTTCAATGAATGATGCGATAGCAATTGGCAATCACAAGTTGGAGATTTAAAAAAAAGAGAGATATTTTTAATGTTTGTTTAAATAGGCTCCGCAATACATCTATTTGTTGTACTAATACGTAAATTTTGTAAAATGAATGAATGAAACCGTAATTTGTACTCTCTAAAAATTACCAAATAAATAAATAGATAAAAATAGGAATAAAAGGATATGAATATTTATGTTTGATTGGGCTTATGGGGCTGGTCTCTAGTCATGTCGTGTAGTTCTGGGCCTATATAGCCTGGTTAAAAATGCAAACCCAACTGTCCAAACAGCCCTAGTAATACGCCCAACCCCAGTTCAATGGCTAAGGACCCATTCTATGCGCAAGCCCAGGATGAGGCCCAACCACAATAGTATTGGGTTTAACTGCCTATAAGAGTCCTAATGACAGTTGTCCCAACCACAGTAAGCACTATTAATGGAGTGGAAGTGCTAGCCTCAAACATCCTCCTTACTACCCGGTTTGGGCTTAAAATATTTTTGGCATTGTAAAAAACTCAATCCGTTAGAAAGTAAAAAAAATAAAAATCCCTTGGATCCTTCTATCTACTATTATTTGAGGTTTGATAGTATTTAATTTACAACAATACTTTGTTCACGGAGACCAATGGGCACGTCCTATTTAATTATCAAATCAAAGATGATATATCTCAAAATATTTGATTTTGTAATTAAATTATACAAATTCTCATGACATAGTGGTATTGACAGGAATTTGGAAGGTAAGTTATCGAGATCTAACTTTCGAACCGAATTTTTAACTTAAATGGTGTATATTATGGGATCGATACACATGCAGTAAAAAAAATAATAATAATAATTAAATTATACACATTTATTTATTATTAATCTACATTAACAGAATGATTAATCTACATCCTCAGCTATGGAACGACTATATAGGTTAGATATAGACCCACAACTCCACACCTCACTTTTTCGGCTCATTTAGAAATCCTCGAAATTATCACGACTCCTCAAACTTCCGAATACATGAGATAGAAATGGCAAGAGTAATTGAATGTTGACTTTTAATATATATTTTATTCGTAGCTTTCTATTTATCGGTAAGCAACAGTGTACAAGTGGGTGAATGACATGAAGTTTGAACCACCATTATATATATACGTGCTCATTACATTAAAGGAAAGGATTGACAATCCAATCAAGTTTAATTAAGCTGCTCACTTGTCCAAATAGCTATCACTAAAATGCTCTTATTATGATAGGTTTCCACAAATTAACATCTAGTTACCACCAAGAAGGAACGTGTGTATGCGTCAAAAAAAAGAAATTGATTATGTCAATTTAATTATTATTTGATCACAGTAATTAAAGATTTTGTGATGTAACAGTGTCTCATCTATCTCTTAAAATAAATGATGAAAGTTAAAATTCATAAAAGAGTCACGTGGGTGTTTGAGTGATGTATGTAAATTTCTTGCCGAGAACAAAAAAAAAAAAAAAAAAAACATACGCAGTATTACTGTAGCTTAATTAATCATAGATTATTTTATAATAGGAACAATCAACTAATCTGGACCAATCTAAAAATCTAAACACTTTAAAAAAACAGAAGAAGAAGAAAATAGAGTACAAAACCGAGAATTTTATTTTCTCCTCTTAGTTTATAACAAAGGCTCATTGGTGCCGTATTATTATAAACTTGATAAATTTGAAAGAAAATCGATTCAAACAAATATAGTCATACGCCTTACATTCTATCCAAATTGTGATGTCGTACATCATCTAAGGGAAAAGTTGTTAGAACCGTGTAAACATCATTAATCAAGTAGATGGGTCTTGTGTAATATTGTGAGTATCAAGGGGTGAGTGCAAAATAGATAATATCTGCGCACAGCCGAGAGCGGATTCAAGAATTGTCAATGGAGTTGACTGACACTAGCAATACTTTTTTGTTTTTTTGTTTTTGTTATTATTATTATTATTATTATTTTCTGAGCCTACCCCTAAATTCACCCTTGCATGGAGCGGCTGACAGCGAGTATATTGAGTCTCAAGAAGGGTGATTGTGACATTCATGTTATCTAGGGAATAAGTTATCCATGCCAGTTAGGCCAACGAAGGAATAATTGTGACCTCATATGGTCTGGAGGAGAAGTTATTTATACTGGATGTTACAATATATTTTATAATACATTATTATCATATATTATATAATATATCATTACGAGGTATATATAGCATTGCTTATATGGTAACTATTTTAACCTACCCTCATTATCATTTATAATATTACCTTATATGATAATGACTTTTTTTCCACACATGACATCTCCTATATAAATTTTCATATACTCTTGTATCTTATATCTCATACATAAACTCTTTTATATTTCTAAAACGAGAATATTAACTTCTAAGAATGGTGAAGGGGCGACTGTGACGTTGAACCCTAGCTTGAGAAGAAGTTGCCAAGGACAATATTTACAAGTGATAGAGGCAATTACACGGGCATTTCAACAACAATGCTTATCATTTCAAAAAAAAAATTCCTTTTCTCTTGCGTGAGTGTCGAAATTAAGATTACCAACTTTATTGTCACCAAAGAAACCTTTTTGTTTTGTTGTTAAAATAATTATGTCAGCCTTTGCTGTGCCCATTACTAAAAGGACCGTTAAGTTGAAACAGAAACCTAAAATAGTGACGCAATCTAAACCATCCTTCCTTCAACTCATGATGGTTATTCCGATGCAGTTGGGCTGAGGTAAACCAGCCCTAGACGTATGGTTCTCGGTTTTGGCCCAATCTAAGCCTTTGGTTTGGTAAAAAATAAAATAAAATAAAATAAAATATCGTGAAGATATATTGTACCACTTATAGGAAATGATATCTACTGCTACATTTCATTTTATACTTCCACAAGTCACTTTTTATTATTATTTATTATTTATTTTTTTATTTTTGTTCTTAAAGAAAAAAATTGAATTGACACCGTCATACATACTTCAAAAGTACTTTCACACTTCAGGATTATCGCTTTTACTCTTTACTTTTAAATATAATTTATATTATTTTCTTTGTTTAAATAAATCAAGAGAAGTGTACGTGAATAAAATATACCGTCAACATCACATTTCATTAACGAGAATTTAATCTAAGTAGAGTATGTTTTTTTCTTGCTTAAATCAATTAGCTCACGCGACAAAAACAAACAAGGCAAGTCATTAAAAATTATTATCACATGGATCTTGAAATTGCTTTTTCACAGAGATTACCGACACTAATTTTCAATTAATCTTGAATTGTGCACCGACAATACCATTCAAATGGTTGGGACCTTAATTTTTTAAAAAATTTCCCCTTTTAGTAGAGCAAATTTCATCCAGGACTAAAAATCGTTTAGCAAATGATTCACCACCTTATGTCTAAACACAAGATGGTATATTTTAATATACCTTATAAAGTATAAGTATGTTATAATACTTTTGCATTATCAATGCAACCCACATATGTGTCAAATCGGGATCATTCTGGAAAAAATATTATATGGAGCAGGTCTTCCCCAGTGGGAATATACAACATCTAATTGCGATATATTAAAATATTTTTTTGTGTAAAATATATACTGTCACCTATGATGTGTAATTTTTTTCATCTCCAGTAATCTGTTAATTTACATTGTCACATCACCAATGTGTAAAAGGGTTGGTGTAAAATACACAACCTTTTTACACGACCAAATCAACATATTTACTTTTTTATCCCTCTTTCTCATTCTATTAAATAATCAACCATATATTAAGTAAGTTTGTAAAAGTTATGTGGGTCGTGGCATGTGTATGTGGGTCCTAGCATGACACATGGTTGATTGTTATTGAGAAATATATTTTTACACGAAAGGTATAAGACAACCGTTAGAGCTAAAATTAAATAATTTAAATTTTTTGTGTAAATTAATTATGACACATTATATTTACACAAAAAAATATATATAACGATTGGATTGGAGATGTTCTCAGTGACTGTGTAATGTAACCCACCATATTTAATTTAATAATTAAAATAGGACATTCTCATTTATTATTTGTTTACATTAGGATAATGTACATCTTCACCGATGAAGTGTTCTCCAATAAAATATTACAAAAATTTAACTTCCGATATCATTTTTGTTTAGACAGGACCATCAAATGATTTATAGTTCAAAACCATTTAATGGAACAATAATTCCTCAAAATTATTAAATACTCTTGGTCCACTTGTTGATCAGTCCAATTCAATCTAATCCAAACTCTTTAAAAAAAAATTGTATATATATTATGTATAAAAAATAAAATAAAATTTGAACATTAATATTTATGGGGGAATAGACCACCAAATTAATGACATGGTGCAGACCATGTACTGATTTCCAAAATGTGAGAGTTGTCATTTTGGCAACTCTGTTCCGCCACAAAAATCTAAGCATAAACGTTACAGAAAGAGATGTAAAGACGATACTTGTCCAACCATCCAACACTAATCTATCTGATTGGGCCGTCAAAAATTAATCACGGCGAGACATATTGTACTATCTCATTTATTTTCCAGTTTTGGGCATTGAAAGTAATCAAATTACTTACTCTATATACCCCGCCCATTTTAGTGAGCAGATTTCACAAATCACCCACCAAACATTCTACATTTAAGAAGCAAATCATGGACCACTAATCCCTTACCACATTCATTCCTATCAAATATGTACATATATATGTATATCTATATATATATGTGACATTCTTTGTCCTCTCTCTCTCTCTCTAGAGCCCTATGTTTCTTTCTCTGGGTAAATTCTGGAGAGATGGGTTTATGGGTTGATTGCAGTACTCTCTCTTTGCTGCTCATTGTTGTTGCTGTTCAACTAGCAAATGTAGAGAAGTGTGTAGGTGACTGTGATTTCTTCCAAGGGAGATGGACCGTCGACGCGTCCTACCCTCTCTACTCTCCGGCCACGTGTCCTTTCATTCAGCCGGAGTTCAATTGCCAGTCCAACGGCCGTCCGGACAAGACATATCTAAAGTACAGATGGCGGCCCCAGGATTGCGAGTTAGCAAGGTAATGTATATTCTCTCCGGTTAGTTTTTTCTTTCCCTTCACCTGTTGGTCATCTACATGTAGCTTCTCTGTTGATGCATCATTATCACCGTTAAGCTATTGACGGTGGATTGAGATTTTGAGTGGTTGATAATGATGTTAAAAGTTAATCGCGAAATTGATTCTTCTCCTTTCTCTCTATGTGAAAAAGGAATCATTTATACTGTCATCACATTAGGTCACGGGTTGCCACTTGCCAGATGGGATGTCTTTGTCTTGTGAGACGCTTTGTGCACTTATGACTTCAATTTCTTTTCCTTTTTATTTTATTTTATTTCTTTACCCTTTTTCAATTACTTTTGGCTTTGTGCACTTATGACTTCTATTTATTTTCTTTTTTCTTTTATTTTATTTATTTACCCTTTTTCAATTACTTTTGTTGAGTATAATGATGTTGTTTGAGAGCTAATCCCACACCCACACATTCATAATTCTAAGTTCACCATACATTCATAATTTTTGGTAAAACTTAGAATCATGTTTAATAACGAAAAATTATTAAAAGATTGACCTATATCTATAGAAACAAATGTGACTTGGTAAAAATAGAAATAAAATTTATTTTGAGAAATTCAAAAATTAATTTAGTTTTTCTTACTACAATATCACCATTTTTAATTTTTATCATCAATTTAGTGATATGGGTTTGTGCCAAAAAAAAAATATATATATGATATATTATGAATAATCTAAATTAATATCAGTAATTCTAAATATAATATTAGCTCAAATTTAAATACCAATTAGTATGTGAAACCGGCCTAAAATGTTTTTTATACTTGCACTATTTTAACTTTTGGTATTTTAAATTTTGGATAGATTTGATGGTGAAGAGTTTTTGAAGAGATATAGAGGGAAAAGAATAATGTTTGTAGGAGATTCATTAAGCCGAAACCAATGGCAATCATTCACATGCATGCTTCACGCTGCCGTGCCCAATGCAACATACACTCTCACAGCAAGAGAAGATGTCTCCGTATTCACTTTCACGGTAGGCACCACCCTATTTCATTTATTTCTACTATTAACCTTCAGCATGCATATATATGTATTTATATATAATAATATAAATGTGTTGAATTATTTAAAAATGGTTATTAATTTATTACTAGCTTAGTTGTACTCCTTCCTAATTAGAAGATTTTTTATATACAAATCTAGATTCTGAAAAATGGATCTAAGAAAGAAGATTAGGGGACTATTAGGTGCTGGGCGGAGCCAATTAAGTTGCTTCCAAGAAGCACGTAACTCAGCCCTTGCTCTAACCTACTATACATTTGTATATATTTTTGTAGTAATTTTAAATGGTACCCCCTTAAAATTTTCAAATTCCTCTAATTTCTTTTCTTTTCTTTTTTTTTTAATAAAAAAAGTTACATATATTACACCATATATTTTTCCTTTTCTAATTTTTGTTTCTTTTTTGAAAAAAAATTCTTTTTTCATATATATTTCTCTTCTTCAAGTACATATATTCTTCATTTTCTAATATATGATAATTTTAAATAGTCCTCCCCCTCCTAAAATTTTCAAATTCCTCTAATTTTCTTTTTTAAAAAAAGTTATATATATCCTTCTTCTTCAAGTACACCATATATTTTTTTGTTTCTTTTTCAAAAAATTTCTTTTTTCATTTATGTATAATTATGTATTGTACCATTTTTCCTTTTTTTTCTTTTTATAGATGATATTTGTGATAATATTAAATTAAAATATTATTAATTAATATTTTGATTCTTATATTTGTCAAGTATATTTTTTTAGGGTACTTATTTTTTAGCATATTATTTTATAACTATTTTTTTTGTTTGCCTTCTTATTCAAAAAAAATTATATTTGTCATACTTGTTGATTTTCTGTCCCTTGGCCCAGCTCTGAAAATGGATCTAAGAACCATATATATTGTTAAAAAAAATTGTATCTAGCCATTTTAAGATTTGGATTAGAAACTAAAATCTAAAACTAACAAAATGTGTACGGTTTCAGATCAATTCGAATTGGTATCATGCTCTAGATTGAAACCTCATGGCATGTTTATTAAATTATTAGCTTAAACTATACAATCTTAAAGTATAATTTGTTTTATTAAAATTGAATAATGAGACCATATAAATAAAGTTCGTCCTTGGTTGAGTAAGACGTGTCATACTTTTTAAAGATTGTGTCGTTTTGTAATATCAATTTGGTTGATTTAGATGTGGTCATACTTTTAAAGATTGGGACTTTTTAATTATTAAAAAACAAAGTATTGTGTCTCTTTACCAACAAGATAATAAAAGAGGTTAGTGGATCCCTTTCTCATAAATCATCCTTTATCACACGTCTCTTTACTGAATTTTGAATTTACGTACTCATATATCCTTGATGAATGACTAGTACTATAGGAGATTATATGAGTTGGATTGATTTTTATTTAATTTTTATTTCGCAGGCACATTTTAATTAGAACCAAAGTATGTTAATCTTGTGACAATAAAAACACATGAACGAAAAAACAAATTTACTTTTGACTTTTATCCCAGCTGTGAACTGTGACAACACACGGATGATTAGTCGGTGTAGTGATATAGATAGAAATGGACCAAGTACTGGATCTAAAAATTAAATGGTTTTAATATTGATGTGTATGTGTTGATGGTCATGTGATAGTTTTATTATGATTCCTGCAACTCAATGATTATGGTATGGAACTTAAATCAAAACAGACAGACCATGTTACACAAAACCTTTTGTCAATGTTTAATCGAGTCAACCTTTGCTCCATTCCAGCTGCCTTTTTTTTTTTTTTTTTGTTTTAGGTTTGGTAAGAGATGATGGACACAACCATTGTTTTTGGTGGGTTGGATTCCATCTCATGCAAGTCTATTATCCAGCTGTATTATCGAATGGAGAGTGCAAAAACTCCAAAAGGGCATAGCCCTGTCCAAAATTGTCCAAATGCAATGAGTTGATTTTGATGTTAAGAAGGAAAAATGTAAGGGAGTACCCAATCCTTTTGTGCTGATTACGCAACACATTAACAAGAGGATGTTAGGTAACTAATCTATTTCTTTTTGTCAACCATGTCCCTTTCTCTTAAGAGCCGTGATAGATACACACAAAGAAAGAGTAGAAAAAAGGGGCCGATATATTCACATCTCTTAGATGCATTGAAGCGAGTCTCCCATTGATGCATTCAAGGGACATATATGCCTGGACCCTTTTATAACAAATGATGATGTCTATCATTAATTGGTGTGAGAATTTAACTTATATTCACATTAATATATAACAATAAAGTCGAATAATCCCCGTCACTCCATATGAACCGTAATGCGATGGTGTAGGGACCTGGTTTTTATAGAAAATCATGATCATATGTAGTGGGGACATATATATTTGATTTGAGGTGGTACACTCTTTTGATTACACAAAAATAGAGATATAAAATTGATTATTTATATATATATATATTTGCCTGGAGAACTAATTCAATTCATCTCAAGGCTTGAATGATTCTAATGTATCAGGATATATAATATTCTCTGCAATACACAAGTTTACCCCTTATATGCAATAGTTTACTCGTCTATGCTACTAGTATTTTGTTTTAAAATAAAATTCTGATGATAACAATTATTTGTGATATACTATTTTTCTTGTGGAGGACATATACATACATGTACACATTCATATTACTAGACTAGTAATAATATGATTGACACTAAAGATGTATATATGGATGGCATTGCAGGATTATGGAGTTAAAGTGATGCTTCATCACACAGTGTACTTAGTGGATGTAGTAAGGGAAAAGATTGGTAGAGTGTTGAAACTTGACTCAATTGAGAATGGCAGCAAGCTATGGCAAGGGATTGACACGCTCATCTTCAATACGTGGCATTGGTGGTACAGAAGTGGACCAACTCAACCGTATGTTCAAAAAAAAACATCTACTACTACTCTCTCTAGATCATATATATATATATATATATATATATATATATGTATTCATAATTTCCAATGTAATGAAAGTAGAATTGGTAGTAAAGTGTTGTGATTTTGCAGATGGGATTATATTGAAATTGGTAACCGTTTAATCAAAGACATGGACAGGATGGTTGCATTCGAGAAGGGGCTAACAACATGGGCCAATTGGGTGGACTCAAAAGTTGATCCTAGTAAAACTATGGTTTTTTTCCAAGGGATTTCTCCATCTCACTACAAGTAAGAATTTAATGGCTTTTTTTTATTTTTTATTTTTTATTTTTAAAACTAGTTTAACTAACAAAATTAAGTTCCATTGATGTCCTTGAAATCCCTAAGTGGGTTCCAATTGGATGCTGGAAATATCAATTTGGAGCATTTTGACACATCATTGCTTTTAATAGGCCCCCAACACAACACTAATTTGTCACTCAAAAAATAATTTTTTATTTTTAAATATTTTAAAATTAGAAAATTGTACAAAAATACTGCTTGGTATGAAAACTGTACTCACACTCACATGTGATGAGATGAAAATGAGTAAACTCGATAAATTTTTTATAAATATTTTGAATCCCCAATTCCTTCTTACATAATTAAAAAAAAAAAAAAAAGTCACGCATTAATTCAGATAGTATGATAACCTTTAATTTTTCAAAAAAAAAAAAAAAAACTACCTTGAAAATGGAGAGAGCTCTCAACATAATGAGAACCAAATGACACCAAGAAGAAATTAACATATATATATGCTTCCATCAAAGTGTTTTGACACTAGAATTGTCTTTCTCTCTCTTTGTATTAATTGCTTATTTATATAATCACTGTTCTCATTGTGTAATTCTTATGTTCTACAATAATATGATGTATTCAGTGGGAGTGAGTGGAATGAAGCGAGTGTAAAGACATGCATAGGACAGACCCAACCTTTGCTTGGGTCAACATATCCGGGAGGACCCCCAGTTGCATTAGGCGTGCTGAAGAGGGTGCTAAGCAAGATCAAAAAACCAGTGACATTGCTGGACATTACCAACCTTTCTCAGCTAAGAAAAGATGGACACCCTTCTCTTTACGGGTTGACAGGCCGAAAGGATTGCAGCCATTGGTGTCTTGCCGGAGTTCCCGATACTTGGAATGAAATACTTTACAATTTTATTCTTGATTAATTTAGTGAAACTTAAAATCGAATGCGAATGGGATCCAAATTAAGGGGTTCCAATATTGCTTAATTGGCTCTCCATTCGGTTGTAAGTTTCCCTCTCCGTGTCAATACTCCTCATTCTTGAAAGGAAGTCATTGATGATTAAACCATTGATTATTTGAATGAATAAAAGATCATTATTGCAATGCCATTTGGTGAGTTTCATTTGAAGCAATGCCCATTTACATGGTATAAACCCAATAATTTTTAGGGTAAAGTGCAAAAAAAAAATCCCTAAACTATTGGCTTTTTGTAATTAACCCCCCTAAATTATTAATTTGTTACAATTAAGTACAAATACATCGCAAAAGACTATTTTACCCTTTCTTATTAAATTTGTCATTTCTTATTAAATTATTTTTTATTATATTTTCTCTTATTTAAATATTAATTTTACCATTTACCTTAATTTTATAATGAGTATTAATTGATTATAAAAATGAAAAACAAATAAATTGATTTGTAACTATCATTTTCTAAAATGATTAACTTATTATAATAAAACTTATTATACTCATTTTAAAAAAAATTAGTATAAAAAATATCTTCTTTTTCAAACAATATTCATGAAAATTAATAAATTACGTAAATAAAAAATATTCTTTTTAATGCAATATATTCATGAAAATTAAGAAATTACTTAAATTGTTTCAAAATTTTCTATTTAAGATTTTTATTTAAATAATTAATTTAAAAAATCAAAGGCAAACCTATGCAAATTTAATAGAGAATATTTCATCCAATTAGTATGAATTTTTTTCATAATTTATTTTAACAAGAAAAATATATCCAAGTGTAATTCAATAAGAAATGATATTATGGTGATTTAATGAAAAATAGGTAAGACAATGGGACTTTTTACAAATAAATGTGATAGTTTAGAGGATTTTACGTACAAAACATAGTTCAGGGGGGTTATTTGCAAATTTAGACATAATTGAAGGAGTGTTTTTTTACACTTTACCCTATTTTTTAATTATAGTAAAGCCAGTATATATGCATTAAGAGAATGAGTTGAATGGGATATAAATTAAACACATTTTCAAATGGAGAAATGAGTCCATTTTCTGCATAAATTAATAGCCATCTTACTGATCAATAATTGGATGATGTTAAAATGCGTACGTAAATGGTGTAATATAGTATTAGTAGTTGTAATAGTTGAGTATAAGGATATATCACCATTGCGTGAATGGTCAAATTAAGTAGTAGTTGAGTATAAGTAATTATGTATCAGGAAAAAAAAAAAAACAGAGTATAAGTAAGGATCACCGCATAAAGGAAAATAATATTTTATATATCATAAAATATATGAGATGACAATACATATTCCATTTGAGTACCTCTTATATCAGAATTTTTCTGTTTTTAAATCAACTTATTATAAATTTTATTTGACTGGTATAGAAGATTTAATTTTTTTTTGGTGTGAGATTTAATTTGACCATTGCGTGAATGGTAAAATTAAGTAGTAGTTGAGTATAAGTAATTATGTATCAGGGAAAAAAAAAAAAAAAATTGAGTATAAGTAAGGATCACCACATAAAGGAAAATAGTATTTTATATATCATAAAATATATGAGATGACAATATATAGTCCATTTGAGTACCTCTTATATCTGAATTTTTCTATTTTTAAATCAACTTATTATAAATTTTATTTGACTGGTATAGAAGATTTAATTTTTTTTGGTGTGAGATTTCTGTCCTGTGGAGTCTCTAATTTGGTATATAGCATCAATTTATTAACTAGTCCATTTAATTTATTTATTCGGACACTCGACCTCTCTTTGAAGTGAAGAATTTCTACCAACTAAGATATTGTCTATTTGGTAGATAAATGTGTTTGATGCTTAGTAAAATACTTGTATTGTCAATTATGAAAATGAACTCGAGTTTAATCTTCAATTTGTAGTTAATATCAATTTACAATGACAACAAAAAAAAACACATAATTTTGACTGCCATCATCATAAGCAATTTTCTAAAATATATAACAAGTTATTTAAAATTGTCCAATTGTAATAAAAATAAATAAAAAGACAAACTAGAAAAGTTCCACGATTTTTTTTTCCCATGAAGTACATTCATGTACAATCAACGATTTACTGGAAAAAAAGTGAGTAATTTCAGGAATTATAGGTACTTTATATGAAAATTTTAATTTTTTTTTTTTTTTTTTTTCAAGATAGTATAAAATTTCTATACATGACAAAATTTTAACTTGATTATATATATATATATATATATATATATTTAAATATAAAGAAAAAATTAGTAATTTTAAACGACACAATCAAAAAGGAGTTGGTAATATGAATCCGAAGTTCTAACTACTGACATGAAAGGGAAGTTCTAAGCAAACAGCACTGAGTGAAAAAGAATGCTTTCCTTAAAAGGAAGAACCTTTCCTTTTTTAAAAGCCAATCCAAGACTCTATAAATGACCCATCACCTACCATTTTGTTACATATTTTATCCAAATGGGTCATGCGTTTCAAAAAATAAGCTCTCTTGCATGCTCTGTTTTTGTGCTTTCATGTCTTCACCAGTTATGTTGTGCTAAACAAGTGGAGCATTTTGGTAACATAAAACGATCAGAATTGGACGGCTGTGATTTCTTCCAAGGGAGTTGGGTTTATGATGATACGTATCCTCTCTACAATAAGTCCATCTGTCCGTTCATTGAGCCACAGTTCGACTGCGAAGGCAACGGACGCCCAGATAAACTCTATCTCAAATACAAATGGAAGCCCAATGCATGTGAATTGCCAAGGTACTTAGTACACTAATGGTTCTATCCTAAATATAATCTAAGAGCTCTGATAGGGTGTTCGAATTCGAATAGATATTTTATGCAAAGAAAATGCTACTAATATACATTCAAATTTCGATCCAATGAATGAAAACACTGAGTTTTTTATTTTATTTTATTTATTTATAGAAATCATTTGCATGTGCATTGATTTATGGAGTAAGATGATAAGATGGATGTTTTAATTTGTAATTCATCCCGGCACGTACAGATTTAACGGCCTGGATTTCTTGACGAAGATGAGGGGCAAGAAAATATTGTTTGTAGGGGACTCCCTCAGTCTTAATCAATGGCAGTCACTAGCATGCATGCTGCATGCTGCAGTGCCCCAATCAAACTTCACCATTGGCAAGAAAGGCATTCTCTCCATGTTTATGTTACCAGTGAGTCTCTCTCTCTCTATATATATATATGTGTGTGTGTGTATGATATAACTGCTGTTGCAACATTTTACAGGTTATATTTAATTCTTTAAAATTAAGACTTCAATTCTTTAGCTGTCAGAATTAATCTCTCTCCTCTGAGAAAGCGAAAGCAAATAACAAACTGACATGGAGATTCGATCACAAATAAGTAAATAACAAATCATAAAACAAAAAGAAATACAAGTGTTCGGCCCTACACGGTCTTGTTCTTAACACTTTTGACTGCTCTTCCTTCCCAAATTAATTTTATTAGATCAAAATTCACTTGTGTGTTATCTGTGTGTTATGTTTGCCGAACCAATTCAATATTCCCAAACATAACATATAATATATTTTGGATACTAATCAAGTGTATGTGAGATTTGCAGAATTATAATATTTCAGTGATGTTAAATCGGAATGAATTTCTAGTGGATCTAGTCAAAGAGAAGATAGGAGTGGTTCTAAAGCTAGATTCCATCAACATTAGTGGCAAAGCATGGAAAGGCTTCGACATGCTCATCTTCAATACCTGGCACTGGTGGCTCCACAATGGAACCATTAAACCGTGAGTTGTATATATTCATAAACACACACACATATACATACATTGTATGTACATGTTTTTAAAATTAATTTATGGTAATGTTTTCTACTTAATTTGTGGCATGCATATATGCATATATGTTGCATTGAGTTTCAGATGGGACTACATTCAAATAGGAGATAAGCTATACAGAGACATGGATCGTTTGGCTGCTTTTAAGGAGGGACTAACTACATGGGCGAAGTGGGTGGACTCTAATATTGATCCTAAATTCACTCAAGTATTTTTTCAAGGCATCTCTCCTACCCACTTCAAGTATGACCTTTCTTTCTTAATATTATTGTCACTTCTACACGTACCATTCGGTGCTATTATTAAATGAATAACATTATTTAGACTTATTTTTCAAATCAAGATATATAGTTGAAGGGATTTTTATTTCTTATACTTTCGATGCAGTGAATAAGATCTACTCTTAAATCTATTCACAACATCAAAAAGATCAAAATCTCATCAAAAGGCATCTTTAATTCCTTACATGCATATATAAGTTATGTAAATTCATTATATAACATTTTTTTATTTTTTATTTTTCTCACTGAGCAGTGGTAACGAATGGAATGAACCAAAGGCAACTTGTGTGGGACAAACCCAACCACTAACTGGTTCAATATATCCCGGTGGTTCAATACCCGCGGCGGAGGTGGTGAAAAATGTGATTAGGAACATGGTGATGCCGGCCAAATTGCTCGACGTGACGACACTTTCAGAGCTAAGAAAAGACGGACATCCATCCACTTATGGCATCGCTGGGAAGAGGGGAAACGATTGTAGCCATTGGTGTCTCGCTGGTGTCCCTGATACTTGGAATCAACTCTTATATGCAATGTACATTAATGGTACCGTACGCCAAGAAGATAAATTTAATTATCAGCTATAAATTAATTAATTAATTTATCAATTTGTAGCATGTAAACTTCAATGGCTGAGAAAATACAAGTGTTGCATTAGTTAAGGTGAGGCTATTATGATTTATTAGTTGTTGACATTCTTAGGTGGAGATGTGGTACCTATTTGACTTTATTTTCTGTGTATGGTTAATGGGGAAAATTTATGATATGTCATATAGTATTTTCTTTTTCATTATCAGTTGTACATCCTATAGAGATTTTCAAATCAAATCAATTTTTTAGTAAATATTTCCCTAACAATTTTAAAACTCTCAAACTTCAACTTTACCAATAAAGTTTTAATTTGTTATCTCAGATAGTAATAAAAAAAAATTACTACGTACTAAAAAATATTTGAATAATTTTCTTATACTTTTAAAAAACAGATTAATTATTTAACCACTCATAACAGTAAATTGAAATATATATATATATATATCCAACCGCTAAGAAAATAAACGTGTCTAAACGGTTGGAAAAAAATTCTAATTAAAAAAAAATTGTACAAATTTATTTGTGAAATGAAACATTGGAAGATCTATAACTTATAGTTAATTATCACTCACTAACGATTCCATAATTTACTTGCATAAATGGAAATTAACTTGAGTTCTTAATAATCATCAAACACATTTGTTGACATTTATTAACTCAAGTTTTTAATAATTTCAAAACACTTCAATAATGAAAAATTACTAGATGGACTATTTATCATTTGGTAGCCGGTCCAGTCTAATTTAAACTAATGTTCAAATTATTATTTTAAGAAATACAGTAATAATATTACACTTTTTTTTCTTTTTTTTTTTTTATAAAAAGAATAATATTACACTCACATAATTGCATACCAGACCCAATTCGTTTGATTCGTCCTACTTGCCCTGAATGAAGTAGACCCCTTCCCTCAAATGGGTACCCGACCCATTGGGCACCAAATTTGGATTTTCCACCTTATTCCGTTAGTCAGTCCACACTCCAGAAAAAGCTCCCAACTTTGAAATATGGCCTCTTTGGCAACTCTGAAGATGCTCAAACCACCCCAATTACTTCCACTTTTCCACAATCATCAACAATCGAAACTCTTGTCACAAACCCTAAATCTCAATCCAACTCCAACTTTCAGAACTCCAAAAATGGTGGTCAAAGCTCAAGCAAACACCTCTGCTCTAGGGTTCGTTCAGAGAGCAATAGATTTGGCCCAATCTTCGCCTCCCTCTTGGCAATCCGCTCTCCTCTGCAATCTCGCGATCTTCGTTGTGGGTTCTCCGCTTCTCGTATCTGGGTTGTCTCTCTCCGGCATTGGGACCGCCTTCTTGCTTGGCACTCTCACATGGCGCGCTTTTGGGCCCTCTGGGTTTCTTCTCGTCGCCACCTATTTCGTCATTGTAAGTCTATCTATACCATATATAAGGATTTGTGTATATGCCATTATGAGTTACACGTTCTTATGTATATGGGTATTTAATATGATTGTGATTTTTGAGATTTGTTCATTCGTGAATAAGATTGGTATGAATATATTAAAAAATTCTGTCATTGTAAGTCATAGAATCTGATTATTTTCTTCTGTATGCTATACATTTCTTTTGAAGTTGTTTATGGGTTTTAACTGAGAATTTTCATTGGCGATCTAGGCACACTTTCATTATAGTGCAGGGTTCAAGTCCCTGTTGGGATGCAAGATTGCAAGTGTCTGTGTTGTTAATTATCAAAAAGAAAAAGGAAATTAAGTTATTAGAAAGCAAAGGGAGAGAAAATTTGTGGAAAATACATATGCAAACTGTTAACAAAAATGATTGAATTTCTGATCAGTGAATGGGGGTCAATGATTTTGGATGTGATTAAATCTGTTAGGGAACGGCAGCGACAAAGGTGAAAATGGCTCAAAAGGAGGCTCAAGGGATTGCTGAGAAAAAGAAAGGAAGAAGAGGACCAGGAAGTGTGATAGGTTCCAGTGTGGCTGGTTGCGTTTGTGCTTTTCTTAGAATATATGGAGTTGGTGGAAATGCATTTTCTCGGCTTTGGGAACTCGGTTTTGTTGCTAGTTTCTGTACTAAGTTGAGTGATACTGTCTCAAGTGAGATAGGGAAGGCATATGGCAGAACAACGTAAGTTATGCTTCTCCTTTGATGCTCTTCAGTATTTTTTGAATCTATAAAATTCAAAAGAAAAAGTGCACTTCTTCAAAAGGTTTACAAGGATAGTGCGTGTGGCATCCAATAGCTGCTTTTGGAATGACCTTCCTAAGTTCCTATCCCTTGTTGGTGCATTTGGTAATTATGATCTTAGCTATGTATTTTTTTATAAACAAATGCTGGTTTCTGATATTGGGATTTTACGTATGTGAATGCTAGGCTAAGCTTTTTTAGTGTCACTACATGCATTTAGAAAAGAAGCATATCTAGCATCAGTTAATATATGGAATGTAGTATTAGCAATAAAGAGAGATACAAGGATGTAGCAAAGATCGAGGGCCAAAAGTTACGAGTAGTCTAAAAATCAAATTTTTTTGTTACCTAAACTTGATTATTCACAAAGAAGAGAATTTAGATATGATAAGTCATAGAATTAAAGTTAGATGGTTTAAAGAAGGAGTGTTTCTTTCATATTGTACAATTGATATATACCTCTAAAAATGGATAGATTTAAAAAAAAAAATTTGGACCAGCCATCCTTTGTCTTATAGAATAATGTACGACTAAGAAACAACTTGTTGGTGTAGAGATGGATGTGCGAAAGACAATAAATGATAAAACTAAAAATGAAGATAGTTGTAAGATTGTTTAAGTAGCACCAAATGGAGATAAAATTGAAAAATAAAAATAAAAATAAAAAATCATTTACAGTGATTTGGTCATGTGCAGCAAAAACAAATAATTGTACCAGTAAGAAAGAGTGATGTAGTCCATGTAGAGGGCAATGCAAGGGGAAGGAGAATAGGAAGAGGAAGACCAGAATGAATATGGGTTGAGGTAGTAAGTGAGGATATTACAACATATGGTTTCAGATGAAGTTATGGACTTTGAGCAGAAAGATGTAGCAGTGAAATAAGTTTTATTGAGCTGAACCGAGTATTTAACATGTAGTGAAATCCAAGATTGGCCACATAAACTATCAGTGCTTAGTCTGTTGTGACCTTTGTTGTTACGTGAAGTCAGTAGATATAATGTGTCCATCTGGTTCATAAATTTGTTACCTGAAGTCAGTAGTAGATATGATATATCTGGATCTGGTTCACACGTTTCGAATTATCATCTTGATACAATCTATTTAATATAGTGTGCATTCTCTTCTGTTATTGTATGGTTAATTTATAAATTTTTAGTTAACCCGGCATAATTCGAAAAGAACATTGTATGAATATTGTGTTCAAATGTCTCAATTTTCCTATTATGGTGTCCAAGCAGTGGTGAGCTTGATGACCCCTTTATGAGATGTTCAATGAAGTAGATCAAAAGAAACTGAATCTTCGGTGTTTGTGCTTCTCATGCAGGTACCTGGTGACGACATTTAAGGTAGTTCCAAGGGGTACTGAAGGGGCTGTGAGTGTTGAGGGAACCATTGCTGGACTTTTAGCTTCGATTCTTCTTGCCTTTGTTGGGTGTCTACAGGGTGAGGTATTATATGTCATCTAATTCTCTTTTTTTTCTTTTTGCCATGTTTTTGTAGCTTATATTCTTTGAATCATTTTCTCCTGGTGTGGTTTGGCTTGTTTCCTATAAATAATCATAAATGAAAGGGCATTAGCATTAGATGAGATGGGAGAAACACTGCATTGAAGTCATTTAAGATGGTTGGGCCTTATGGAGTGAAGATGATTTACTGCACTTGGGACAAGTGATACAATTCGAGCAAGGTAGGGACAAGGTCAAGAGGATGGAAAAACAAAGTGGGTAGTGAGAAACACATTGTAGCTATGATATAACTAGGATATGGACCTATATGGACTTGAATGGGGAAATAAGATCCATTTAGCCAATCCCAAATTGTTGGGATATATATGCCTATTTGTTTTTTTTTTTGTTATTGCTTGAACAATACTATATTTTAGATGATTTATTAATATGTTCTTAATGGGACTTTTGAATCTTCAGTATTTACGCTGACTGAATATGTGTTTTAATTGTTTTTTCCTTTGAAAAATGGAAACAGATAAATGTGCCTGAAATGTTTATATGCGTCCTAGCTTCCCAGATTGCCAATCTTGGTGAGAGCGTGATAGGTGCTGCACTCCAAGATAAAGAAGGTTTTCGATGGGTAGGTGACCATTTCAATTATCAGTTGATCTTCCTGCAACTGGATCAGCTTTTGTAATCTTTATGATTTGGTTCAGCCTAATCATGATTGGGTTGGGCTGGAATGGCGTATCAGAAAATCTCAGTTAGTCTCCCTGAACCTTGCAATAATGAGTAGGGTGGCTTGATGAAGTTCTGCAGGTTCAGTTTTTTACTCGGTTTGGTTTGGTTTGGTTTGGGTCAACTGAATTGGTGTCAGTTCTTTATGCCATTTGGCCCAGGCCAACCCTGAGCTTGGTGAAAACTGGGCAGATTGCTGGGACAGATCAAGTCATGCCTTATCTGGCTTTACTTGGCCTGCCAAGGCTTGTGCTTTAGAATAAATTTAATTTGATTTTAAATTCAGTGGCACAAATATTATTTTCAAACCCTGTCATTCACTTTTTTGGTTTTGCAGCTAAACAATGATGCCGTCAACATCATCAACATATCCATGGGCAGCATATTGGCAGTCATGATGCAGCAAATTGTGTTGCAAAACTGGTTTGCATGACTTCAAGAAATCACCTATCTACGAGGCTTCAAGCTTATAACTGCTTCTGGAGAAAGGTGTTTAGTAATCTTAGCTCATGCGATCGACTTATGCTATAACACAGTGAAACTTCATGGGGCAGGAGACCAGAAAATGTTGTTTTGCTCTTCAACGTTGTTCCTTCTTTGTATTAGCTGCATTTCTCTGAAGAATGGTCCCCTCAATTCAGTAGCAAAAATCAATTTACTGTTTCTGTTTTCTGAAAGTGCCCAACTTTTCCTTCAGTAGGACTTTGTACAGGTTGACCATTTCCATTATAGTTTGCACAGCATTGTTGCTTTCTCATTGTTTCGTCATGTATTTTGTGGAGAGGAGATGGATGGGGTAAGGGTTATATTTACATGAAGATTAGTAGTGATCGGGGAAGTTTTTTCTACTCGTTTTGAGTGAAGATTTTTTTGTAGTTAAATGTATTGGCTCTTGTGAAATCTTTTTTCTACTCGCTATTGGTAAAATGGAGTTATGTGTCTATTAGATACTGTCTAACTTGGATAAAAAATTAGATTTATTCTTCTTCTTTTTTATATATTTTTATTTAAATTTTTTTTATTTGGTATAAGGATAGTTTTTTTTTATTTTTTATTTTTTCCTGGGACAAGGTTAGTTTCGAATTCTCAAGTTGAAAATATAAATGCCTTATTTCATTATTTCAACTAATTACGAAACAAAAGGACCAAATGGCCTAGCGGTATCACCCCTTCTTTTCTAAAGAAGAGGTCGGGGGTTGAGCCTTGGTGGACGTAGGGTGTGTGAGTAATTGTTTTGACTTCCAAAAAAATTAAAAAAAACTAGTCATGAAACTTTGTTGATTTTCAAAGTATAAAAAAGAGGTCTAAGGAACATCTTCAGAACTGAAAACCCAATTGGCAAGAGTATTTCATTGAAAGTGGTTCTAGGGAACTACTAAAATCTCCATGTAGATGATACTACTTTTCGTATATATATTTTTTCTCCCTTATAAGAATTTAAAATTAATACAGTAAAAGGAAAAGCAATAATTTGTTTTCTTTCTTTATCCATAAATTCCTACCCTAATAATGTAATCGCTGAAACACGATTTCCATTTGCTCGGAAGTAGTCTGATCTAATATATTGTTGATTCCAGTTTGTCTTGTTTTCATAGAATTCTTAACCCAAAGCCAATTCTAAAAGTATCTAATCCCCTAATCCGATTCACAACACCCTCGAATACCACTGCAATATTTTCATCTAAGCTAACTGCCTAAAAAGGGACAGGTAAGAGAAATTATTACTTACAGAGAAAGTGTCTAACACAGGTGGTAGCTCAAACAACTTGAATATTGAAGATAAAAGATACTGTGGAGACAGACTAATAGCACAAGCTATTGTCTAGCACAACTTTAACTATTGAAGTAAAAGATACTGTGATGACTAAGCACAGGCTATTTTACGAGGTATCCCAACAGCAGAAGAGCAGTGCTCTGTTGAGGGCGCCCTCATTGAGCTCTCAACCTCGTCACCGTTGGATACAGCAACTGATGATGCCAGCCACGTGATCCAACGGTGATGAGGTTGTGAACCCACGAAAGCCACCCTCATCACAGCATTTCCCACAGTACAAAGGAGCTTAGGCAGATGGATTAGAATTGCCTTCGCCTTTTTAAGCTTGTGCCGTTTGGTTGACAATGGTGTGAGTTCTGCGTGGGCAAGACGCATATGTCAGGCACGAAGACTGCAGAGTCAGGTGGGCTCTGATAATTTTTTGGCCAGTAAAGCCCCGAGGCTGTAGGTGGGGAAGGGATCTGTGGCACCAACCAGGATGCATCTGGCACCTGACCTAAGCAGTCGTCACAGTCCAGTTCTTCCTCTGCAGCTCTTAATATGGCGGAGCAGTCAGAATCTCCACTCTTGGTACTATCAGCCTGAAATAATTTATGGCAAAAAGAAACAAAATTAGGGACATCATAAGCTATTGTCTTTTCGCTACAGACCCAGAGAAGATGATAATAAACTAGTCCCATCAACCACTGAAACCTTTTAAACCTACGACTCCTACAGTCACAGGGATAACATAGTTTACAGCTGCTGGAGGTTAAAAAAAAAAAATTATTATGAAAACAGGTTCCTAACAAACTGAGCAATAAAATCAACCTTTAAGATGAAAATGCATGTAAGAACTCAAGGCAACTATCCAAATAAAAAAATGAAATCTATAAGGCATGATGCATTGCGGAAAACAATGGCCAAGCTTAATGTTGCTTGGATTTGTTTCAGAGGCTGCAGATTACATTCTCAACGTAAGTAGAAACATCCACTGAAGCTGTGTTTGATGCTCAGTTAAGCTCTCAGTTCACAATGAATAATCAGATGACTTATTTATAGTAACAGCTTAAAGAGTGAGAAATGAAGCCATACAGGACGACTTCTAGTCTTTGATACCATATGAGGCTAGCAACTTTCATTAGGGACGAGGGAAACTACTCTTCCAACTTCCCTCAAAACATAGCAATTTAGCACCAGTAGGGTGACACTGACTTCTGGTGAAACTTTTAGGTAATTCATCAGTGAAAACATAAAAGCAGCATCACAATGGAATAAGAGATCTGCTCAAAGTATATTAAATTCTAGCACCAAAACATTAATACCAGTAAGGTGACTCGCTGACTTCTGGTGAAACTTTTAGTTAAATTCTTCAGCTAAAATATAAAGGGTTTGCATCACAGGGAATAAAGAGAAGAGCTCAAAAGTATATTAAATTCCAGTCAAATGCTCATCAGCTGCTTCTCAACAGCTACAGTTAACACAACCTTGGGTAAGTTCATCAATTTAGCCAAATAAATTTGTTAATACCAAATTCCAAATTGCAAGTCAGAAAAATACTTTCGCAACTCTTCAATTTAAAAAACCAAGCTCTGGGCAAGAGCAATTTAGTCCACCAGCTCCAATTGGCCAAGCACAGAACTTGGACAATCACAGATTACAATACAGTTTTAAAGACTTCATTATCAAGCCTAAAGTTGACTCCCATTTGCCATCATGCCCAGCAAGACTCAACATTAAGGCCAAACTGTGCTGGCAAAATCAACCAGCGGAGAATTCTGTGTGGCTGATGCAATATTCATCGCATGCCCACATAGATTTAGAATTGATATTTGAAACCGGACCATTTGGCCAAGGAATATCATTCGCTACACAGCTTGAAAGATCTTGCAATGCTATCAGCATAGGTGGCAATTATTCTCTATGCAGATTAACTTCAGTGAGTGCATGTTCTGAAAAACTCTTTCGCACTCTCAAAGCAGGAATGTGATTAAATAAAAGACCCATTAATGATAGACGGCAGCCTTCATTTATGCATGAGTTCTAACAAGATAGCATGTAGTGATGACTAAGATGATACCTTGGATGAGCCATTATCAATGTAGCCATAATTCTGATTAAAATCAGTTAGCCCAAGAAATTCATCTAACTGCCATTGTGGGATACTTGCAGCTGAAGAACCACCAGCAGACGGCAACTTTGTTGGCACAAAATCTATAATACCATTAGCTTGCACGGGTAATACCTTGCCAAGTAATGCTTTGTCATATTGACCAGCCAATGACATCGGGCTATCCCTTCTAGATAGAGAACGAGATTCCATTTCTGAGATTTCTGAGATTTTATCACCAGCACGACTTCCTGAGGAAGATGACGGACCAGGTTTAGTAGGTTCAAGCCCTACTTTTACTCCAGTCAGCAAAAACCTCTGATGAGCTAACACATGGGCATTTGCTGAGTGTATGGCAACATCACACTTCCTGCAAAGTAAAGCTCGATCCTCCAGGCAGAAGAAATAGCCAACTGTTTCCTGAATGGGATGACAATACACTTATCAGAACAAAAGACTGGAACTTCCTCTATTTTTTATTTTCCTGCTAGGGGAGTGGGGAGACCAAGAGTGGTTTATCCACCAAAGCAGAAAAGCAATACATCTTTTGAGAGGCTAGCTAAAACCACATTATCTCAGGTGGGAAAAGGGAAAATTTGAATGTCACAATCGGAAAATATCCACATAACTTGTGAAAATGTCAAAAGAGAGACAAAAAAAAAGCTCATATTTCAACTCAAGCAGCTCTAATAAAATCCAAACGAGTATCAGCAATTCCATTTCGAGTGTGCGTCTGATTTCCCAGTCAACGCACACCAAACCACAGGAATCCACCACTGAGTGAACAAAACCAATAGCCGAAAAAATGACTAAATGTATTTTTTTTTTTCCGACAGTTCTATGTAATTTTACAATCAACCAATATTTGAACCAAGTAAAATGTCATAATACTCTCATTGGAATCACAAGAAAACTTGTATACCATATAAAAATATATTTATTGCAACTGGGCAATATATGTAAAATGAAAGAGTCCCTAATGAAGTTATTTCAATTTTGTCACATCTTGCCACTAAAAACAAAAAAATTCAATATACACATTTGTGTGTGTATATGTTGAATTTGTTTATAAAGATGGGGAAAGCAATGCTAACAAATCTGGAAAACTGCCACCCCTTCTTTGTAAATTTGTCCCCAAAATTTCTTGGCTAATCGCATCTTCTATATCATTCTCATTTTCCGATAAGAGTTTTTCGAGGATGATAATAAACACTCAATTTCTCCAACAATGACAAAAAGATTAACTTATAAGTACTTTTTGACAATAATAATAATAAAAAAATTATAATTGAATGAGTTTAAGACACCTAACTAATCAAACATAATCATCACTTGGCTATGAAATCCCAACAATTATACAACTTAGAAGACCTCTCACCCATATCAACAAGTACGGAATATCAAAAGTCCCTTTCCATTTTTAAAACAATAACACAGTGTCAAAAACCAATGCATGAATTAAACTCTACAATCCGTCGTCATGTAGTACTTACAAATATATCAAACCAATACAACAATGATCGAAAACAAATAAAGGCATAATCCTTATAACAGTAGAAAATATGTCTATTTTCAATTAAATACATCATATTCACTATATATGCGTGTGTCTTGATATACACACATACTAACAGTATACCAAATATATATTTGAATGATTAAATTTATATGGATTGGAATCATCAAACAAGAAATTGAAGTGGAATTGAGGAATATACCTGACAGATATCACATTTAGGCATTTGCGAGGAAGAGCTAGTGAGAGGAACCCTCTGGTGTTTGCTTGCGAGCTTATTGGCGGCGTGAACCTTCTCATCGCACGCCCAGCAAAGAGCCGCCTCGTCCGCGCAGCACAGAACTTTCGCCTCCGCTACCTCACAAACGTTGCACTGAATCTTCATCCCCACTCTCTCTCTAGATATAAATCTTTTCTCTCTCTCTCTCTATTTATATCGGAGGTGAGAGAAAATGGAAAACCCTAGGGTTTGAGATCTACGGGGTGAGGATCAGTAAATGAAGGGAAATGAAGAGAAGAATCTAGTGGAGGGTTTAAGAACAAGTTGTGATTCTTCTTCATCAAGCTTTGTTTGTCAAATTTATTACCAGAGTACCAAGCGATATTTTTTAGTTTTAGGCGTCCTTGGCCGAATTCGGTCTATTGGGTTCACACACGAGCCAGTAACTGTCTAAACCAAATCGGTCCAAATGAACAGTAATAAGAGATTCGGAGTTAAGTCACGCCTGTTCACACATAATCTATCTAAATTGAATTGGTCCAATTCCAAATAAACACCAAGAGAGAAAGGAAATGGTAGTTGGATTCGAAATTAAGTTACACAATTTTTAATCATACCGTTCTTACAAAGTAAGCATGTTCTTATTATCCGTATCTTCTGACTATTTCAAAATAAGCATGTTTTTACTATTCGTATCTTTTCACTTTTTATCAATTACGCTTTTACTTACGCTTTCATGTGACTCAGGAGATTTAGAGAGGGAGGTAACTTTTCTTTACTTGGGGTTTGGGGAGAGAAGAACTGTAGACTATACTAGACCCACGTTTCTTGGACGCGTTTGATGCCACTTGGAATGAAACTTAAATTTAAATATCTTGAGGGTGACTGGAAAGAGTTTTATTTAGACCAACTACTTTCAGATATTTTGAACCCAGGCTTCATTCTAGCATCTTGTATAGATATTTAATGCATATAGGATTTTTCAAATAACACTTCCAAGTTTTTATAGGTGTTTAATTTATAAAAAAAAATTACCAAGAATTATTTAGTTCTGTGATAATTTTGTACCGTTTAAAATATAAAGTTTATGATTTAATTTCGTAGGCTTCTTGTCAGAATAAAAAATAAAATGTCATAAGTATTTTACTAACAACATTTAGAATTGAGTCGAATAAATTAACAAAGTAATTGATAATTTTAGTGTTTGGACTTCACTCAAAGCTCTGAATCATGATTATATTTGAAAAAATAAATAATAAAAAAAAAAGTTTAGGAAAAATATACATGGCTACCAATAACTAGTATGTCAAAACCATCATTCTAATAACATGTTATATCATTATTTGTCATCTACCTACTGTGCTATGTTTTTCATATACACAACTATAAATATACACATTCATATTATTAAATGATGACTTGATACTCGGAAAAAAATAATAATAATAAAAGAGATGAACCATATTTGAGGGAATGCCACATGTACGGACCCTTACTTCTTCACTAGATATGTGTATTAAGGTTTACGATGATCCAATCATCATCTCGAAATTACAACGAAGCATGATTATATATTTGATTGAATTAATTTTTTATAAGATTAAGTCTAAATTTTATTTTTCAAAAGTGAAAATTTTGACTTCAAATTCAACATTTCTAATTTTTTATACAAAAGATTACAAGGAACTTGCTGATTTATGCTCCGTTTTTGTATTTTACAATACTTAATTGTCGTAAAATATTTACAAAAAAAAAAAATATTAAAAACTTAACAAAAATATCATATTCATCAAAGTTATTTTACACGTCTCATTCGATGCACTCGACATCAACCTCGATATAGACTTTTGTCAAACACAGAAAAATAAAAAATAAATTATTTTACTTAAAAAATATATATTTTCTGAAAAATAATTTTAGACCAGAAACAAAAGGAGTTTGATTCACAATCAAAATTGCGTCCAAACTCTCACTCATGTTCACATTTTTTGTTCTGATCCAGTTTTAAACACGCCCAACAGGTTTATTAGTAGTACAAAAGCGCAAAAGCGTACTAATGCAAAAAAAAAAAAAAAAATAGGGGGTTGTTTGAACACCTAATTCAGACCGATTTATACATGAGTGTGCTGGTTCGTTTGCGGTCGAGACAGTTGAACCGGTGAAGATATAAACCGGTAATCGACCCGTTATTGCTCAAACTCTGTTAAATCTGCCGTTTGCCGCCATTTCTAAATCCAACTTGGGTCGATTGCGAGATCCAGAGTGAGAGAGAGAGAGGCCGAACAAATTGTTTCAAACAATACACTGATTTGTTGAATCGTTTCGATTATCTGATTCAAGAAGCGGAAAAACTCGAAAATTTCATATTCGAAGGTAATATAGTCCTAAATTTCGAGTTTTCTGATTTCAATTTCGAAGTTTTTCTGTGATTTGAGTCGCTTCGTTGATTATTCTGTTCTTACAAGTAGTTCTTGAAATTGATCACAATCTGACAGTTCTGAGTTTTGCTTAGGTTTTCCTGAATTGCTTGGGCATGAAATTATAGTATATTAGAAAAGATCAAGTTCGATTTGTTGGAATTGTACTGATCCTAACATTTTTTTTCCTGAAATACTTATTGATTTTATGTAAATGTCGATGACTTTTCTTTGAAATTTCAGAGATTGACGAGAGAGATTCCTAGAAAACGAAGAAAACTGAAGCTTTGTGAAGAGCTCGTATTGGTTATTAGGTGTGATCAAATTTAAGGTGTATAATTTCTCAATGATGCGTTTTATTTAAGAGAAATTGAAGGAGGAAAACACGAGAATTTTGAATATTGAACCTGACACTTTTCCTTATTTGAAACATGAGAGATTTTCATTCAACTGAACCTAATGAAATCGAATGACTTGATTGAGCTGATTTAGCAATTTAAACAAAAACCAATACAAAGAGAAACTTCTGATTCTAAATAATGCTTGCTTTTCTTTTTTTCAGATCTATTAGCAACCAAACAACGTTTTTTTAATCTTTTCTGGTTAGTCTATTTCCCTCTTGTGATGTGTACAGTTTATTTGCAGTTCCGCATATCTGCATGTTTCAGGCTCAATCTGGAAAATCTCATTATTATACAATTCTAGACCTGGTTTTAGAATAAATTGCCTTCACTACGATCAATGCATCCCCTTTTTCTTTTCTTCCTTAACTACAAAAAACTTATTGTATAAGTTCTTAGTTTTTATATCAGTCGAGTTATGTGTGCTTTGAGATTATTTTCTCCTAACTTATACTTTAATTTTCAATGATACTATGTTTTTTATGTACTTTAATTTTAATTCAGAGATCAATTGTTACATATTTGCTGGCACTGAGTTCGGATTTGTTCAAATTTTGAATTTTCAGCCAACATTGGGCAGCTTGAAATCGTTAATATCTAACTATTCAGCCATTTTTTGCCTGATTTTATGGATTATACGCCACACTTGCAGTTGGTGGGAAAACAAAAACTAAGAAATTTGCAGTAATCGACTGTACCAGCTTTCTCATAGACTTTTTGTTTGCTTGGTATCTCTACATCACTTAATGACAAAACTATTCAGCCATTTTCTGCCTGAATTTCTGGATTATACGTCCATGTTTGCAGTTGGATTGGAAAATATAAACTGAAAAGTTTGAAGTAATTGACCAACTTTCTCATAAAATTAGTCATCACTTGGTTTTTTATTATCATTTAGTGACATGGTCTATGCGTGCCCCTCTTAAAAGGCAGTCTAGCAGGCATATCGACTTGTGAGAGAACCTTTTCAGAGATGTTTGATTGTGATTTACAGGATTTCAAGTCAGACTATGCTATGCAATCAAAGAATTTTTGAAGACTGAAATGAGATGCAATGCATGCTGGCGAGAACTGGAAGGGCGGGCCATTTCTACAACCTGTGGCCACCTCTTGTGTATCCAGATGCATAACGTTGTTTTGATTTTCTATAACTGTCCTTCAATATATATATATATATGTGTGTGTGTGTGTGTGTGTGGATAAGGGGAATTGGTGCATTTGTCTTCCTTAGCAGTGTTAAAAGGCACAGAAGATGCTAGCCAGATCCTCAGCAATGATGCATCTTGCCCTGTTTGTGATCAGGTGCTCTCGAAAAGGTTAGTGGCTTCTAATGGTGCTGTTTGGAGTTTTAGCATGTTCTATTGCTCTTGAATTCATAAAGCATGGGTTTTGCTAAACGCATGGGACTTGAAGACCATCAATGGGAAAATAAGTAAATATAATTTTAATTTTGATCATGCATCCTGGTGACAAGTTGCTGAATAAAATGATTATGAGAATCTTTAACAGGCATCAATTATCTTATATACATTTCCTTCCCCCTCATTATGAGTGTATTACATTCTGCTATAGAATATGTAAATAATGATCTCCAATACTTCAGGTCTAAAGCTGGAAATTTCTGGCCAATTTTATGTCATAATTCCCAAGTTATATCCATCATTTGAATTATTTGATTGTCTCTTAACATAACGTGTGCTCTCACTTGGCAGTCTTATGAAACCAGTGGATATCAATCCAAATGATGAATGGATAAATGTAAGCAAGCAGTCTCAGATAACTCCTCTTTCTTATTTGTTTTCTGTTATTTAAATAGATACCCTCCTTAAGCTTGCTCTTGATTACATGCTGTGATTCTCTTGGTTTTCTTTATCTTTTTTTGCTAATTTTTATGTATTCTTTGCAGATGGCCATGGCTGGCATTTCTCCACAAATATGTATCCTTTTTTACTTATTCTATTTTATATCCTGTTCGTTTTCCCAGCCCAGAATTTGTCCTATTATTTAATGGAATGGGAAGAAAAATACAATTCAAGTATTTGGTGCAGTACTCATAATGCTCTTCCTTTTGAGACTTTCCAACTAAGGAGGTATAGTGGGCTCTGCAATGTTTTATTTTTTTTAAAAAAAATACAAAGTTGCAAAATGCATATTGGGCTGCTTTTTCCTTGAACAAGCACAGTGATGAAAAGTGCATACAGAAGCGTGATGTTCTACATTGGGCAGAAGGAACTGGAGATGCAATTCAAGATGAACAGAATAGTAGCTCAGTGCCGGCAGAAATGCGAGACAATGCAAGAAAAGTTCACTGAAAAACTGGAGCAGGTGCACACTGCATATCAGAAAATGGCCAAGAGGTGCCAGATGCTAGAGCAAGAGATGGAAAGCTTGTCCAAGGATAAGCAAGAGCTCCAGGAAAAATTTTCGGAGAAATCTAGGTCAGTCTCTGACACCATTGTGTCCAAACCTTCTAAAACATAAACTTTTTCGTTTCTGAAATTGGGTATCTTGAGGAATCTGATAAGACCTGTGGTTGAATTATCAAGTTTTTTTATTTATTACCTGTATTCATATTATTCTTTTATCATCCTTGTCTTACAATTGGAACTTTTACAAATTGCTATTTCCCAATACCAGGCAAAAGAGAAAACTTGATGAAATGTATGATCAATTGAGAGGTGAGTTTGAGTCGATGAAACGATCAGCCATCCAACCTGCAAACAATTTCTTTTCTAGACCTGAGCCTGATTTGTTCTCAAGTCCAGCTAACATGATGGATAACAGAGATCCTATAAGAAAAGGTAACCCTGTTCTGTTTATAGCATTTGGAAAATGTGACAGAGCTGATACTAAATATTAGTCCCTTTAATTCTGAAGTTTTCCTAAAGCCTTGAGTAATTTTTTGTCTTCTTGATGATATTATTCTATAGCTTTAGCTTGGCACTGTATTATGGTTATAGTCTTTCAAGAAATACTAGTTGACTTATTTGTCGCGCAGATTGGTCGGTCTACACTCCTGAAACTCCAGGCCCTAGAGAGGATATATGGCCTACAGCAAGACAGAATAGTTCTAATTCTGGCCCCTTTGACATGTCCGGTGGTTCTCCCGCAAAACAATCAGCAGTTCCAATTGATTCTGGAAACAGAAGGCTAGGTGCTCGTCCTGTTTTTGGAGCTGGAGCAGGCAACGCCTCAGCAACCTTGAGGAACCTAATCCTTTCACCAATAAAGCGGCCTCAGCTCTCTCGTAACCGTCCTCAAATGTTCACGTAAGCCACAAATTATAACTTTGCTGGATCTATTCTGCCACATTTGGAATTAGTGAATTATCATCATAAAAAAATCTTGGTTTCCCAGGTTGTAGACAAAGTTGGAGGGTTTATCATTGTTCAACTAGTCATGCTGGGCAGTTCTATTGATATATGTATGCAATCGTTTCGTGTCTTCTTACTTGGTGAGGAAAATTTTCTTGACTTGGTACTTTTTGTTTCCTTCCTTGGCTGGAAAAGTCTATGGTGGTCTTGTTATAGGTGAAGCAGCAACCAAGACAGACAGAAATAGATGGACAATACTATTCTTGGTGATTTACCCTTTTTGGTATTATAGTTGTGCAATGTTGAAGAGAACTTATACTGTAACTTTACTTGAGCATCCAAATTTAGAAGGTACTGTTGGAGCATGTAGAAAGTACTTGAATCATCATTTTCACTCTTGTTTGTAAATATAAACTCATCCCCTTCACTTTTTTCATGGCTTTTAAAATTCGTATGTCAGATATGTGTTTGTGTGTGTTTATGCATGTATTTGTTTTTGCCTGCGGCAGGATTTTAGTCGCTCTGATTACTCCATTTTTTAAAAACTCAATGTGGTGTAAAAATGCTATGGAAAGTGATTCTGAATCATCATGTTTCCATCGTAGTTCTTGAATGCCCTGGAACTGTCCTCTGAGGTATACCAAATTCTCTGTTACATTTTTGACTCGGTTACACTGCTTCTCTCATGACCTGTGAATATTATCTTGAACAATGGCTGCCCAAGGGAACACATGGCATTATTTGATAATTCATTACAATCCTTTGGAGAATGATACCCACATCATGATGATCTTAAACTTGATTCTATCAGTACCTATGAAGCTCGTAATATCATCATATCCATACATACCTTGTGTCTTCAACTTTGTCTCTTACCTCCGTTTGTTCATTCCCATCTGCATATATGTATGTTTTTTTTTTTTTTAACTTATATGTTTTTTACCAAATACTTGTCACCAAGACTAAGGGTGGAATGAAATAAAACAAAAAACAAACAGAAGAATTCCTGGATGGATGTTATTTTATTATTCAGAAGATCTCCATCTCAGATTTACAATTTACCCTAAAAAATTGCAGAAAAAATCTTCTTCTTTTGTGTTACATAAATACCACAAAGTTTTTCACAAGTATATTCTACGATAACAAGTGATTAGCCAAGAAAACTTTCAGAACAGGGGCCTTGGATGATAGCTCAATGGTATCCCCGTGTTGGATAGAATAAAAAACATGAGAACCGTCAATATATATCAGGCCTTCTTTACAAAACCATGAAGTGTCCATAGTCTCTTCAAATTTTACCACTCCATGCATTAGGCTAGAGTTGGCTTCTCCAGGTGAAATGGGCTCCCTCACCATGTACTGGAGATCCTTGGATAAAATGGGCATCACAAACCCACCTGACGAGAGCATTGCAGCGGTTGATCCAGCAGCTGTTGAGACTCTGAGACCACTTGATCGACAGCTTACTAAAGGGGTACAAGGCTGCCCTTTCCTAATTCTGCCAACACACAGAACAAAAGTTAAACATGTTTAATCTCGAAGCACCACATACCTGTATGTCCACAATTGCTAAAGCTCCAAGGTGAATTCCTTACCTGAACGAGAACCGAGAAACTGTCGCAGGACATGGGTGTGCGATTAAAACATCATTAAGAGCGTATGTCGACAGCAGTTGTGAATTTACAGAAATTGACATCCTTGTTAATTTAGAAGGTAAATTCCTACCCTCAAGTATGCCATCTAGTATCTGGGGAAAAGAAAATGTTTGTGTTCAAATAATAAACCATGCTAGCTAGATTCAAGCTCAGAAAATCAAAGCAAGCAACGTTCTGTGACAAACATACACAATATGATTCAAGAAATACATAATCTGAGTCGAGAAAATTTAAACATATGTCAGATACCATGCAAGAGCTTGAAGAAGTAACTTCATAAAAAAAAAAATGCATTCTAACGGTTACTAGAGTAATTTTACTTATCCCTGTAAAATACTTAGTAAGACAAAGGCAAGGGAGGAAACTGAGCTGCTTCCAAGAACAATCAGTAAAATTACCGAATAGTTCTCATTTTCCTTGTTTGTGCGTGTGTCTAATGAGGTGGTCTTACTTGTTCGAAGTTTTTGACGGTTGCTGCACACAGATAGCCAGTGCTTCTTGTAGCATCAAACACATCACTGAATTCTTCCACCTACATGAAAGAAAACAAGGTAATTAACTTCTTCAAATGGGGTATCCCAATGCATAAAGAACTGATCACTGGAAACTGCAGAATTCATGCCTAGCAATGAAGACCAAAAATCTAAATATTAGTTGGACAAATACACCAACCTCTTGAACTTGTGTTGGATCAGAATTAACTCCTAGAACCGGAATTGAGTCATCCATGAAATGGCTTGCCTGCAAAAGCGTGCCATCGCCACCTACGGTAACAACCAGATCCACATCACGGATTGGTTGTGATACATTACTACGTAGAACAGGTTCCCAATCAACAAACTTTTTTCGCAAAATATCCTGACAAAATTTTATGGCATTTTTGTGAACCTCGCGTCTATTGGTCAAATAACCCAACACCTGCAACGAATTAAAGAAAGAATTAGATTACTAGGTTAAACATTAGATTTTATGCAATGGAAGGCCTTAAGGAGGGCAGAAAATGGACAACAATGAAAGTCTAAATCAAACTGCAACATCATAGTCTAACTAAAAGGCCTCTCAACAAGACAATGCCCACCAATCAGAGATTAAATTCAATAAACTACGCTAAGATACTGAAGAATCCATACGATAACAAGTTAACAACGATCAAAACTTCAAAATGCGGATTTCAATGTCCTCACAACTTCAAGGCATCATTTATTAATATGCCAATATTTGAAATTATGCCACCAAAATAAAAATGTTCAATACAATAAATTAGGAATCAACTATGGATTAAGAAATACACACTTTATGTAATATGGTCATTGTTAATTGTAATAAAAAAAATGCTATCAGCTCCGACATTTTAACGAACAAGTAATCTACATGAATGCTACATTGAAGATACTGGTTTCAACAACCACCAAAACAACAATGTTCAACAATACAATAAAATATGAATCACTATTTTAACATGAAGGATTAAGTACACTCTTTATGCAATATGATCATTGTCAATTGTAATCAAAGCTAATGCCATTGGCTTTGACATTTAAACGAACAAGTAATCTACATGAATGCTACACTGAAGATACTGATGTAAACAACCACCAAAATAATAACGTTCAACAATACAACAAAATATGTATCAACTATCTAAACACGAAGGATTAAAAAGTAAACTCTTTATGTAATATGGTCATCGTCAATTGTAATCAAAGCTAATGCTACCGGCTTTGGCATTTTAACGAACAAGTAATCTACATTGCAGACACTAATTTAAACACCTTGTTAATTAAGAGAGAAACAGGAAATAGACCACAGAACTATACATCATCTAGTTGCCAAGAACCTAATCATCTAGTTACCTTAGGGTTTGTGAAGCGAGAGAGATCGTTGGATTTGTGGGATAGGTACACGTCGAAGGGCTTTAACAGCAACAGCAGTCGTCTCCTTGCCATTTTCTCTCTCTAAAAGCACATTATGTGTGATGTCATACCAAATTTTTCACAATGCGGTACGACGGACTAAACGGTGACAGTAATTGGCGGCGGAGCGCCGAACAGGAGGCGGCAATGACTGAAGGAGGAGATGGTGGGTCCAGCAGCTCTATTATTCTCACTGAGAAAATTGCAAAGAAGTCCTTAAAACGAAATATTTACAAAAATTACAAACAAGTCATATATATTTATAAAAATACACAGTAATAATGACCATATTAACAATCCTCCCTTTTTCCTTTTGTTTTTTAAAATTAAACCAACAACGATCTAACTCTTAAATTGCGGAAATAAAGGGGAATGAGAAAGGAAACTAAGAAAAAAAAAACATTTTTAATTTGTTAGCCACAAAATTTATGGCTTGAAAAGCACATTCATGGTACGCAACTACGCATATAGAGTACATAACCTCTATGCGTTTTAAAAAATTCTTAAAACATTTAATTTTGTAACAAATAAAGATGAATGTTAAAAAGATTAAAATGTCCATATATAACTGAATTAAAAAATAATTAAATAATATAATACTCGTACATAAATAAAATAAAGTGTCTATGTGGTCAAGTCCCATTCTCGCGTGTCCTGCTGAAATGCACTAAATTCATGACCAGTATGATGGGATTCTTTTTAGCCTTGTGCTTTTGATTATTTTCAAACTTTTATCTGAACAACTAAATTCATGACTAGTATGATGGCATTGATTCCAGAGAGAGAATTGAATACATGCTTGCAGTTTCTCTTGTAGAATGATTTCCAGATTCCCATCAGGCCATCTTTCAGGGGTTTCGATGGTCCGAATCTTGGCCCGTGACTTCTTGCCAGTACCCTCCACTGTACAAAATTATATCTTGTTTTGGTAGAGATTGTTGAAACTATGTAAATATTATCTAATTAAGTTTCTTTTCGTCGCATATGACATTGTATGTGTGGACACTTTTTAACTATATAAATACGTTTTGAACAAAATTGTGAGCACCGAAAGAAGGGTGTGCAAATCAAACAATATCTATATGGGTTTTGAATTTCAACCGTGAGCGCCAAGAAAAGAATATGCATAGCTAACAATAGGTACACGAATTTTGAGAGGATCATACTTACTAAATCTAATGTTGGATGGATAAAATATGGAGGTCCTTTGTGAGTGTGTTTGAGTATTTACTAATTATCTAACTAAAAAACATGGTACACCCAATCAATGTTCAACACTCTCTTTATCAATTTACCTACACTCTTTTTATCAAATTACCTTACATTTTTTTTTTTTTTTAATCATTGCTCATGAATTTAGTTAAGCCCAGGAACGCATTCCCGACATAAGGAACGAGACAACCGTTACACACTGAAATAAAGAAAAAGAAAAATCGAGCACATTACCAAACTATTATTCTGTAGTATCTACCATTTAAGGTTGTTTTCTCAATAACATACTTTGGGGCTTTGCCTTCATACACTACAGATTTTTCCATAAACAAAATAGTCGCGGACCAGAAACTTAAGGGAGGGGGTAATATTGAATTTTTAAAATAATTTCAGGGGGTAAAGATAAGATATCACTAGTATATATATCATGATGACAAAATAAATAAATAAATAAATAAACCAGGGGGCACAACCTAGGTCCCGTCCCTGGCATCATGGAAATAAAACCTAGTGGTTATGCAACTTTGGCTTTTACATCTCCGTTTTTCACATGGGTTTTGGTTGAGAATAAAAATGGTGTGGTGGACTTTAGAACGTTGGTATATGTGGTCCCATTCCAGCTCTGCAATTCTTCGAGGCCTGGATCACACCCCCTCCTGCCTTGTCAGACCAAACATGGCCATATGGACAATACAATGAGTATGTGTACTAGACACAGTGCATGCCATTCTGTATCTGATAATTCAATTCACGAGCACTGCGACAAGATAACATTATGATAATTCGGTGTCTCACAATAAATGTATAGTAAGGCTCATTATACCATCCGGTGTCAAGAAAAATTCCTCATTATTATTATCTTTTTCTTAAAATGAAGAGTTGCTAAGTGGGAACCAACGCACCTACAATCACTCGACGCAGTGAAGTGGGCTCGTGTGGACTCCACTTTGTTACATCAAGTAGTTATGGATCTGTGGGCTGCCCACTTCAAGTCATTATACCGGTGTAAAAATGATTTTAGTGCGTGTAATTATCCTAAATGAGTCACGTGACATAATAATTTTATGTGCAAAGAATGAGTCATTCCTGCATATTTTTACATTCCTTAATAAATTGGTGACCACATATAATACATGCATTATACATCATAAAAAGTCATTCCTGCATATTTTTACATTCCTTAATAAATTGGTGACCACATATAATACATGCATTACCTCGTAAAAAGTTTATAAGAAAAATGAAGAAAGGTTTGTGGATAATAGCCTCTGTGCCACAAAAGAATGAAGTCAGCATCATTTTTGTGGACCCCACGTGATGAGTAGATTCGAAACGAAAGAATCATTCCCGCAATAAAATGTAGTCCTCCAACAGACCAAAGTTTCGCTTTACGTGCCTGCTTGGGGTGAGAATTAGAGAGCCCCTCTTGTCCCACCACTCCCATTCCCCCACCGCCTCAAGAAATAAAATGTCATGCCGACAGCCCTATCCCCCACGCGGATAGTGAAGAGTCAGACTATCCAAACACTCCAACCTTTATTTATTTACTTTTTTACCGGCAAATGTGGAAGATATTTTTCCAACTACTACTCGGATACACTTCCAAATTCCAATATTCAGAGTCTATTCCGAATTTTTGTTAACTTTCAAAAATTATAAAACTTTTTATATATAGGAAATTTTTTTTTTTTTATTTTTTTATTTTTTAAATACTACATATATTATAGAAGACAGACTAAGGGGGTACGTGTCCCCTAAGTCTACATTGGCTCCGTCCCTTTATATAAATATGTTGAATTATCGATTTAATATTACACCACATATAATATATTATATGGGTGTTGTATCTTTTATGTAAATATATTCTATGAGTATTATACTTTTATTGTATGAATATGTAAGAGCATCTCCAATGGCCTCTCAAATAAGTTATCAAATACAAAATATATAAAGTAGATGACAATAAAACACTTCAATGACCTCTCAAAAGATCTTTTATATTTTGAGATTCTCAAATATAGCCGCTCTCAAATGACTTTTCAAATTCAAATATGACAAGTGGATTAAAATAAGATACTCTAATAAGCTCTCTCAAAAGATTTATCATATTTTGAGATTGTCAAAAGTTATTAAAATGAAAATAAAACACTTTAATAAGCTCTCAAAATATAAAATGACTATTGTGTCAAAAAATAATATTTTGAATAAAATACATTATTAAAATATAATTATAAAAATATAATATTTTTACATTATAACTCATTTTAAAATTTAAATTTAATATAAAAATATAACGTACATTAGAGATACTCATGATTTAAAGCATAGCGGTGTTGCGTTTGAAAGTAACGTATGTAACATAGCATGTTCATATGTGGACGCCATGTCTAGAAGGCCAACTAAATAAAATAGAAATAAATAATGATAAAAGATAAAGTGTACACAATAGGAAGGGACTTCATAATGGCAAAGGGAACAAATAAGTTGGTCCAAAAGAATTGTTATGCATGAAGAAGAATTGGTCAACATCAATCATTTTGTCACACGGCGGGCCCTGCCTATGTTCAAGCTCTTTGTTTTCAACACGTTGCTTCATTCTTCTCCCTTCCTTCTTTGAATTTTGAAAGATAATGGTAGGAATTAATGAATCAATCAATAAAGTCACTCTTTGTGATGTTACCAAATTATTGAAAATAAAGCTCCACCTTTTATTTGTGCAGATTTGAAAGACGCCCATTTTAATTCGTAAAAGGGGAATCCCGGTGAATAAAAAATTTATATTCATTATGTACGTGGTATAATGTTAAACTGATAAGTATTTTTATATTTAAAATAATTAAATTATAATTTTCTTTCTTCTCATATAGATTATTTTAGATGTATAAAATTAAATAAAAAGTATATTGATAAGTATCTTTACATTTAAAATAATCAAATTATAATTCTCTCTCCTCTCTATTTTAGATGTACAAAATTAAATAAAAAGTATACTTTTGTTAGTTATATATAATCTATTTTAGATGTATAAAACAAAATAAAAAGTAATTCTATAATATAAGGATACTTGTCAATTTAGTATTGTGTCACATACATGGTTAGTATAAATTTTTTATCCACCAGTGAGTAGGTAAGTATTGTCCTTAATAAAATAGCTAACAAATATTTATATTGAGTCAAATAAAGCGGGTGTGAAAGTAAATTTGAGAGCGAAAGTGTAAGAATTTGAGCGATAACACCCATGAAGCGTGAAAGCGACATCTGTTGAGAAATATTATGTAACTTAGTTTTTACAAGTAATATAGTATTTATTTATTTAAGATAATTCAAAAAATAAAAAATAATAATAATTTACCATAGGTCTTTAAAAAATTACATTAGATAGATAATATACTACAATCATATTCATTTATTTGAAAACTTGCTTACCTGGCCATCTTTCGTGAGAGTTGAGGAATAGACTATTTCTTACTTACATTCCCATACATCTCAATTACATAACATATTTTTATTGTACAATGCAGTTTATTTTTATCAGAATAAAACAGCTAAAATGTACTTCCAATATTGAAAATAAATCTAAAAATATAGACCTAATTAGGATTCAAATTTGAAGCTTTATAAAAGCATCAACAACTATAATTTTTATGTTTATAAAAGGGACTTGTTACAACAATTAAAAAAAAAAAAAAAAAAACATACATTTAAAAGTATACAATAATTAGGAGTGCAATTTAGATAAATTAGACAGATTAAAAGATCAACTCAAGGTATAAAATCTTCAATCAAAGCACAACTTAGCCCAAACCTAATACATGTTAAAAAACTAAATTTGGACTTAGTCCGAGTTAGAAAACCGAGCAAAAAATTACGTTGATTTGAGATTATTCTCTCGTATGATTAGTCCTACACATAAAAAATTCAAAAGATTGAATATAAATATATAAAAATATATATATATATATATATATATAAGGTCTCAAGAAATTCATTTTCTAAAGGAATAATATATACAATAAATCATGATTTAAATAAAGACAGAGAAATTGAAACAAAAGAGGTTGGTAATGATTATAAGTATTTTTAAAATTTGGGTTGTGTTTTGGTTGGCCTCTCATTGTGATATCATTAAGTAAGGATTCATTAATTATTAAAATGCAAAATCTAGTTAGAGAGCATAGACCTGAAAAAGGAAATATCAAGACAAGAATTGTCTATTTTTCTACTAAAATTTTCATGGAATCTACAAGTTGGCCCTGACCACAGTGAAAAGACATGCTTTATGTAAAGGCGGGCATAAAGCAAAACTTTGCTTAAACACATCAATCAAGAAAAGAAAAGAGAAAAAAAGAGAGAAAAAGAAGGAGATAGGTGGTATCTTACAATACAATAATATGAAAGGTCACGTGACAGCCAAACAACCATGAGATAAGGCCAGAAAGGTAATCATCATGGTAATTGGATCCATGTCCATGGAAAATGGTCCACGACTTAAAAAGAGATCCCCGTCAGACAGGTCAATAGAATAAAATCTTACTTTTTGCATTCTTATGATGGGAACATCTATGCCCACTAATGTTACTAATATGTCTGCCTTTATATTATTATATTTTACTATAATACATTTATAATGTATAGCAGTAATGACAGAGGTACAAAAGGTAAATTTTTAAAGTTTAGATTCTTAATTTAAATGATGCGTATATCATATGTGTTCTTAATAAATATATATATAGTGATTAAATATATATATAGTGATGGATCTAAAAAATTTTGTCAGAAGGGCAGCCTTTTAATTTGTTGAGGGAAATGTATATAGTGGATCAATTTTTATAATTTTAATAAGGTTTTCTTCATAAATTTTTAAAAATTTAAAGTATAAAATGCAAAAATAAAAATTTAGTGGGGGCAAATTGTAATTTTAGTGAGGTATCTTCACAAATTCTCAAAAAATTGAAGTACAAAATAAAAAATAAAAAAAAGAATTTAGTGGAGACAAATTGTAATTTTAGTGGAGGTATCTTCATAAATTTTAAAACATTTTAGATATAAAATGAAAATATGAAATCCATGTTTGTATATGTCTATCCCTCTTTTATTTATTTATCTTAGTCATATATAATATTAAATATGGATTTTAAAATATTTTCTCAATTACAAGGATATTTTATCTTAGTCTAATCAATGAGGTATTGTTAACCTCCTTGTTCGCACAAACCAATAATATAAAAGAAATTTCAATTTAAGGATAGACGGGACAGATTCTATGAAATCATAGTAAGAAATTAAAAGAATTTATCTGACTATATATATTTCCATGAATAACACAAATAATTAGAGTACTCGTCTATATATATTTGTAATGCATGTAACTTTATAAATTACTAGGTGTTTAGCCTATAATTAATTTGGAAAATTCCCAAAATAATTTTAAATGAGATTCACAAACTTTAAATGATACTCCATATTTAGTTGATTGAAAATAACTTCTTAGAATTGAACCATATCTTAAACAATTGTTATTGTCATATATTATTATTATTATTATTATTCCTGTATTGTCATATATTATTCACAAGTAGTATTATTTAATAATAAAAGGTGTACGTTGAGTCAATATTGGCTGAAGTAAATTTTGACCATGCTTAGCATGCTTCATTGTATCTTTTGAATGGTGGGAAGAATTGGTGTAACAAAGACTGAATTTATTTGGGCTCTTTTGTCCTTTTAAAAAATTTAGAGAAAAGCCATGCAAATGTTTTGGATTATGTTAAAACGTAATGTTTAAAAAATTAAAAAATAATTAAAAAATTAAAAATCAATTTCTATATTGGCTAAATGCTGTTTACTTATTGAATTAAATCAATCTCCGTTACCCTTTCCCGCCATCATAATAGCCCCTAAGCATCACTTGCGTCAAAACATATCCCAGAATAATAGCAGTTTAGCATAACTTGCCTCAACACATGAAGCTTTGAATAACAAGTTAATATTACTAATGGTTGAATTTGTTGTAACTGCAGGGTATCAAATTTTACAAATCAATTTATTAATTAAATTTACAAATCAAATTTATTTTAATGAAATCCAAATTCACTCAATCATCCTACAATAACTTTGCACGGTAGAGGATCAATTTGGGGCCAACGTGCTTTATGGGCCACAACCCCAAATGTGCGTGCATATGTATTATATATATATATTTTCAAATTCAAAAAAGAAAACGAACAAATTCCCCCCAAATGATTGGTCAGAGCAAGCTAAGCTAAGCTAACCAAAACAAAGAAAAATAAAGGCGAGCCAGGCGGAGCATGTCTGCCAAATTACTCTGCGATTCCTCATCTATACATACATGCATACATATATATATATATATATATATATAATACATATAGCATATATATATATACACACACACAGTCACACATGTATATATGCTATATAAAGTTTAGAGTGTCTTTATTCTTAAAAAAAACTCTGCGTCTTCTTTCTAATCAGCTAAAAATCTCTTTCTAAGCTTTTCTTTCTCGCTCGGAATGCAGATTCTGTAGTTTCTCTCTCTAAACATTGTAAAACAAGAAGGAGATCTCCAGCGTCTTCTAAACAACTGGTCGAACGATCACGAGGTCAGCTTTCTCTTTACAATTCTCTCTCTATATATGCAAGTATTATGTGCGTATATATGGAAGGTTTAGAAGCTTGCATTTGGATAGATTTAAGCTTCTGTAGGCATAAAAAACTTTTCATCGATTGAAATTGTACCAAACAAGACCTTATGGTTCTGAAATTTATTATTCTTCCGGTTTAATAGAAGAATTCTAATCGGATGAGCAGTTTCTAAGCTATATTCTCTCTTTATATATATATATATATATATATATATATGTATGTATGTACCTGAATTGTTTAGCATTTTATATACGCTTGATGATTCAATTCAAATTGATCATTTTGTTAAGTTGATGAATGTGTTGATGATGCTAAAGAACGGTGAGAACCCGATCATGTTTTGTGATTATTATCTGATTACCATGCTTAACCAGATTATCAATTTGATTTCAATCTATCAAGTAGGACATGGAATTTATTCTTGCTAGATCTTGTTGATGCGCTTGTAGTGTTCGATATTTTGTACATAATTGTTTATTATTGTATTATGTAAAAATGTTGGATTTTGATTTTTTTTTAGCTGCAATGAATTTTGAGATCCCAGTGATGCTCAATTGTGAATCCTTTCTTTTGGAGTTGATTAGTGACTCTAGTCTAGAAACTATATAACTCATCGAGTGATGTGACTCCTACCAAATAAACCATTCTTGGTTCGGATTTTGTTGTTTACTTGAAGTAATTTTATATCAATTTGGATCTACAAATCATTATGTCAACACGCTGCAACCCTCTAGTAAAGTTACAGTTTAAAAACCCAGATTATTGTCAAACACATTCATATTGAATTTGATAGTTTGGCTTATGTTTATCAGAGATTAAAGAAACATAATTGTTTAATAGAACATGATTTTATTGACTGGTGACTTGTTTAAGCAGAGGTTAATAAACGGAAATAGGATCAAGGATAGGATATAGTTAAGTGGACTATGAGTATAAGAAGTTAAGACCAAAATGATTTTTTAGGTCTGTTTGATGTCAGAAATTTTTATACGTGGTTGAATGAGCTTCCTTAAACGTAGAATAAGGGTCTCTAGGCTGAAGTGCCCTCTCTTCCCCTTTCTCATTTGTCCTTTGAAGTCAAATGCTGCCAGTTGCAGAACAAAAAATGAAAAAAAAAAAAAAAAGAAGAAGAAGAAGAAGAAAGAAAACAGGGGAAACAAAGTCAGAGTTTGTGGCGCATGGCCCACTATCGCGATAACATACATCACTGAAGATGCATCTTAATGTCTTTTTGTTTCATACTCTTGAAACTTGTTTGACTGAAGCATATTGGTATGGTTGAAACGGGACAACAAGGCCTTATTTTCATAAAAATCAAAATCCACACTTTTCAGCTTTTAAAGCACAATAAGCAGACTGTTTTGTTGACTATATGTTTCTTTTGCAATATATATATATGTTTATTAGTGGCTAGCTAAAACATTTTGTGTGTTCAAAAAGCCTATTTATTTGGTCTCTAATTAGCAATGTCTTGGCCGTTCTTAGTGCATCAACATGGTGGTTAATGTACTCTAAGTGCTTAATAATATTCTATCAATATATGGAGGCACACCGGAAGTTTTTTTGGGTATTGTGGTCACATTTGCTGTGTTCAAATTGATCCATTTTCATTCAAAATTTGCGCTGCATAATTGCATTACCACTGTTCTTTTTCCGTGTCAATATAGCTTACTCCTTGTTCTCCTAGCATGTTTTGAACTGATTCATCCTACTGTGTTTCTTCTCCTAGAATTCTGCCTTCTGTAGTACCTTCACTATTTTAAACTGCAGCTTTCCTGAACAGAATCTTGACTCATGACTTGTACTCCCTATCATTTTCCATTGAAAAACAATATATATATTTTTTGCACTCTTATATTTATGGGTAATCTTAAGTTATGTAATTATAAAACATAATAACTTAAAATCAAAATCCACACTAGCTTTGCTATTCATACTGACCATAAAAATATATAAACAAGTATGGAGAATTAGGCAGATGGAGGAACAGATGCAAACAAATTAAGTTGAAGGTGACCAATTTGTTAGTTGCTAAAAACTTGTTCTAATAACTTGGAAACTCTCCTTGAACTAAGTTTTGAGTCAAAACTTACTCTGCAACTTGATATTTAGAGTGCTAACTTGAGAGGTCACACAAGCAGTCTACTAACAGTGCTGGAGATTTAAAAAATGTATTTAGTTTTCATCTTCCCATCTTCGGAGACTTCCTGTATAACATATAAGGTCTTAACATGGCAGGATCCTAAATAAACCAAGATTAGCACCTGCTTAATGTTATATGCTAGGGCTAGACAGAAAGTTGCATTATTTTTTGTAAAACCTTTCTTCATAAAATGCATATTTGAGGAGCAAAGGGCAAGGAACGACATATCATTCCTTATATACCTTGTACCTTGAAATAAGTATCAGACATGTGAGATGGCCGAATTTCAAAAAAAAAAAAAAAAATGACTCACAAACATTGGTGATGGCCTGCTTTCTGACTCTGCGATTTCACTTTTTTATTTTTTCCCTCTTTCCAGTCAAAAATGTTTGCTTGTTCTATTAATCATAGATGTTAAGGAAATTTGTAGTTGTTATGATCATCACCTAATGCTGGGTGTTTGAAAGAAAAACTGAAGACAAACCTAACTTATAGTATTTTCAAGAAAATGTACAGTATGAGGCTTAATTTAGGGTAATTTGCGGGAGCCAAAATTGTAGCTGGATCATTTTTAGTTATGGTATTAAATGCAATTCCACTTTGTCCAAATGGCTCCATAAGTATTAGAGCTGCATTTTTTATGATGTAGAAGTAGCATGTTGAGGTTGTGTCCAAGTATTTAAATATTTCATTTCCCTCACTTTCTTGCTATCCTTTTGCTGGAGTAAAGTCACCGAATCATCATATTACTTTCTAGGATGTGTTTCTAGGGTATTTAATGGCGTGCGTTATACTTCAGGGGCATATAAGGATCGATCTTATCTATGGTATTTAAATTCAAGGAATATATTCTGTATGAAGAGGCAGACAATGTTGATTTTTTTTTTTTTTTTTTCCCGACTCAGTTGCTAGGGGCGCCATGCTTGGTTTAGCATTACATTCTTTGGAACTGCACTTGATTCGTTACAACACTTGGTAAAGATATCACATTACATAATTTTTGGCGCATTTTGATTTATTTTTAAGTCAAACGAAAATGATTTTGCTATCATGGACAGCATTTAGAAAACTTCAGAATGTGGAAGAGAAGTCATGCCTGCGATTCTATGTGTGTCAATGTTCCTGTTGTTTTCTAATTTAATTAGGGCACACTGTTGCAAAAACATCAGCGTTCGACTAAAAAAACCCCAGAATGAAACAAATTTTTTGTTTATGAAACTTGAGATTGAGAAATCATTTGTTGTTCTTTTTTGAAGATAAAGAATTTTAAAATGACAGTAGTTCTCAACTCACCTTTACATGACATGGTTTTTTGACATGATGGATTAACTGGTTGGTATCATCTTATTATAATATTTGGAATTTGGATGACAAACAAGGTTTCTATGTTCATGGGTCCCACAACACTGGTTGGCACCAACCATTCTTGCATGAGAAAATCATGGCTTTTGGTGGAAAAAGACACCCCATTCCTGTCGTTATCTGTCTTTGGCTTGACTGCAAATTCCCTGGATACTACAGAGCCTTCACGAGGAGGCTCTCGCACTCCTCTACCCGTCCCCTCCACTTGCATTTGTCTTGTCTTGGCATGGAGAAGAACAAGTTTGCATGCCAGTCCAGTCTCTATCTGTCAAATTCACTTTCTCCTTGGCCTATTCCTCCATTTAGTCACATTTTGTTAGGATTCTTTCCCATCTCCTTCTCATCCCATGCCTTTTTCTCTTATACATAGGTAAGGCCCTGTTAATTTATAGACCTCTATTCAAGCAGATATTTTTGAGATCTTTCTGCTGTTCATAGCCCTGTTTTGAGAGGGTCAAAAGCTTTCTCCAGGTACAATACATATTAAGAAAATTTAATGGCTGCAATCATTAGTGCTAATATGATGTGTTTTTTTATTTTTTTTTATTTTTCTTGGTTAATTATGATCGAATTTCTGATTCTACCTGATTGCTTGTCGAGAACTGATTACTTTATTCGATTATCTTATTTTGTTCATGCACACGTGTTTCTTTCTTACACGATAAAATATTTTGTAATTAATCATTTTGCTACCATTTTGTAAGATGGAGTTAGATTTTGAACTGTTGGTGGGCAGGAGTTGGCTTTGGCATGCACATGCACATTATCAGTTTTTTTTTTTTTTTTGCATGCGACACTGCTTTTATGTAATCAACAATTTCAGACAAACCAACTAATTAGTAACTTTATGCAATTTGGTGATTAGGATATTTTGGCGATTGCCAGTTATGGTTGCTATACGTCAATCATTTGTGTGTCCACTTTTGTTGTTGATGGCAATTAGGATAAGATGTGGTTTCATAGGACTTGTACCACTGATAATGGTGGGTATATTTGCGCGCAAAATGGATAGTCTCTCCCAAACCTAAATTTGTTGTCCCAACCACAAGGGAAAGTTTCTTAGTGGAATCTGTATTTCACACTTCGCAAATAGGGCAAAACAAGAGGAGTGAGAGCCACAATATTAAAAATATATCATATGGAGTGTATAAACAGAGTTGGTGGTGGTGGTGGTGTGTGTGTGTGTTTTTTCTTTCTTAAATGATATTTTTTACTGCTTTGCATAATTGCATTACAAAACATTTCCCAAACAGAACCTTAGTCTCTATTTGCTGCTTAACTTGAACGTGTTTCTTTTATTGAATATCTGAATTTCTGAAATGACCAATTTTTTATTTATTTATTTTATGTTTGATATCACTTGTTAATGATAATTTGTAACCGTCTAATAATTTATTTTACGTCATAATTGTGTTGTGTCAACCTAAGGGTATTATACTAAATAGTCCAACCCAAACATGCCCTTTTTAATATTCGTGTCAGAAACTCTCAACACTAACCCAACCTGTTTGTTAAATGGGTTACACGGGTAACCTGTTTAATTACATATGCTAAAACAAAAAGTTATATTATTTAAATTATTAATAATATTCATTCAAATAATAAATACTAGAAAAATATAAGTTTCAATCCAATCATTTTACTAAATAGTCTCTAGTGTATCACAAAAATATATATATATATAAGGCACAAGTTTAGATATGATTTTGGAACATAAATATAAATTTATTTATGAGTTAAACGGGTATAAAAGGGTTGAACTACCTCAACTAAAACACAATACGATTAGCTAAACGGATTAATTATGTCGATCCGTTTACGATTCGAATCCATTTAAAATCAACGCACACGTGTTTAACTTGTGTTGTGTTGACAAATCGTGTTAAGTATTTTTGTAGCGAATTTTACTAAATTGTCAATTTTGATCCACTGTTTATTAAAATTGACCAAGGCAATTATTCATGCAATTATTAAAGTACTCTCTAGACTCTACCCATGCGCAAGTATATACGTTTTAACAAAATAATATGCTTATATGTACCGTGTGGGTCATGTGACACTCGTACATAAATTTTAGTCCATATTTCTTGCAGGGAGCAATAAAGAAGTTATGTACGTGTGGTGGCAGTGTTATCCTAGACGTAGGCCTTAAGTGTTCTTACTTTATGATTTTAGGTTAGAATTCTTATTGATTTTTAATTCTTATATTATTGTTAGGTAAAAAATAAATAAATAAATAAATAAGTTATCATATATCGAATCACTTTTTAGAAAAACATATACTTCGTATTTATTTTATTGATTTATTTATTGTCTTATATATATATATATATATATATATATATTTATTTATCCCGGCAATGGTTTGTAGTTAGTGATAGTTAGCGAGGGTGGGAAGGAGAAAACAAAAGGTTCTGTAGGTATGTATAAATTTATTGCCTAGAAAAGAGAGAAAAGAAAGTTATGAGTGCATGTATGTACATTTGGTCAAAATTAGGCAGTTATGCAAGAGTGCGGTGTGTAACATCAGTTTATGTACCAGTGGAAGTGCTCGAGGACATTTTGGTTGGAATTAGGTGGAAGGGCAATTTGGTTGACGAAATAAAGTGAATGGTAAGAGTTGTTAAATTTGTAAATAGTTTGTCAATTTTTATAAATAGTGGTCAAATTTGGGATTTTGATAGAATTTACTCCAAAATTTGTCCAAATTACAAAATTTCCAAGAGAAATGTTAATCCGTATTTGTTAGCATAGTAATTTTATTTCTTTTTCCTTTAGAATAGTAATTGAGCTTTACAAATAAGTATAGTTGTTTATCTGGAAGAAAGAAAAAAAAATAAAAGTAAAAGTAAAAGTAGGACGGTAGTCTAACATTCAATTTTGATTCTATAGCATAATTCAAAGTGAGATTTGTGACCTGACTTATGGTTTAATGGTATTTCTTCTCTTGTCAAAATGATAGGTAAATTTGTAAAAATTAATTTGAGGTTTAAATTATTTTTATCTTCAATTCATAATCTAGGACGTTAATTCTACAATCCTACACACAATATAAACAGATATTGCAAAACGAATTATTAATAAATTCCGTTTAGTTCAGATTATTTTTTTTTCAGAATAGTTACTTGTTTAGAGACTCTTTAAATAGAAGAGAGAATGAAGATTTATTTAACTAATGGTTTTTGAATGTCGGTAAATAAAAGGCTTAATTTTAGAGATGATTGTCTATAAAATTCTACTTGTTGTTTTTTTTTTTTTTTTAAAAAAAAAAAAAAAAAAAAAAAATTATATATATTTTGGATTTAAAGAGGTTGTGAAAATTAATTTTACTGAACTAAGGTGAAAAATCCCATACTCCGAACATTTTCTACGAAAATCTGATCACACGGTTTGGTTAGAGAATCTTCTAAGATCTCTCCACAACCCCAAAAAGTAATATTAAGGGAAATATTAATTACGCTAATGATGTTTTTAATGTAAGTGATTTTCACGTATTGAGTGAGAGCAGCAGCTTTTGAAGCGATCCCTTTTAAAACTATTTTTCCGAGTTCAGAAAACTTCGTGTCACCTGCATGGCTGTAAGGTTTTATGTATCTTGTAAAGCTTACACGAGTATTCGTTTGTTTCCTCTTTTTTTCTGCCACCCATAATCTGGAAATTTCACCCATTCATTTTCCTCTTTCCTCTCCGTTTCTCTCTGTACAACAACACCCACCTGCTTTCGTCCCCAAATGCTAATCACCCCGTTCTTTTGAAAGCTTTCTTCTAAAACAGTCTTAGAGCTATAACTGAAAACATCTCAACAGACTCATGTTTGGATTAAATTAGGTAGTGTGATTGTTTTTCTGGTAAGTATATACTCTTGATTTATTGTTTCTCACTCTGCTATTGTATTTTGAGTGTCCTTTGTCTCTATTGTATTTTGAGTGTCCTTTGTTTCTCACTCTGCTATTGTATTTTGAGTGCCCTTTACAGTGGGGGTCCTGATTGTTTTCTTGTGTTAGGAATTTATTACATGTTTGAGTTTTTTTTTTTTTTTTTTTTGGAGATACGGGATCCTTTAAAATGTATTGCATAGTGTTTTCTTACTGTGCAATACATTTTAACTAAATAAAACTCCTGTTTTTCAGTCTCTGTGTTTTTGTCATTTGAGAGTTGTGAAAGAAACAGAGGCTCTAGCTTTTCATCGTCTCTGCTCTCTCTATCTCCATCCATAGGATGTATATATGTATGTGATTTTCTCTCGGATGCTGTTGTTTTACTTTTTTGAATTTGTTCATATTGGGTTTCAAAAATTTATTAACTCAAATGACCATGACTCATCGGTAGACCCATTTTTTTTTTCCCCATTTAATTATGTGTAGTTTATATGTTTCTCTTGTTTTTCATAGGTTCATTAAGGGATTTAATGTTTATATTTTAGGTTCTTTATTTTAGTTCTTTATATATTTTAGTTCATATGTTTCTCTTGTTTGTAAAGTTATTACACTGCGGTAGAATTGCATAGTTACTGTTTGCTTAAATGCAGTTATGTTATTGTGCTTTTTTCTTTTTTATTCATTGTACCAAAATTTGTGGGGTTTCTTGGTTAGGTGACGACTTTGATTTACTTTTTACCAAATGTAGGACACTCAATTGTTTTCACTGAACCCATACTAAAGTAGTTATTGGAGGACTGGTTGTGGACTGAGCGTATGCCTGGGAACAAGTACAACGCCCACTCAGGCTACAGTGCCATCCCCACAAGTCGAACAGAAAGGCTCTTGAGAGAGAGAGAGCTGAGAAAGAGTAACAGGGTCTCTCATTCAAATGACACTCTTGATAATAACAGAGGAACTGAGCTCTCTGAGCATGAATTGCGCTTAAGAGAAGGTGATAACTTAGGGGTTTCCAGTGTAGAACAATATCTGGAAGGGGTCTTGGCAGCGAGGGCACTTAATGAGGGATGGGAAAGGCCAGATTCCAGACCTGTCAGACAACGACTGTTGGTGGTGGCAAATAGGTTGCCGGTCTCTGCTGTTAGGAGAGGTGAGGAGACCTGGTCCCTGGAAATAAGTGCTGGGGGTCTAGTCACTGCTCTTCTGGGTAAGTATTGTCTTGACTCTTTGACTTTTTAGTCTGTCTTTGCTTGTTTATTCTGATTTATTTATGCATTGATTATTGGTTGTTTGTAGTTTGTTTCATTACATCGGGTATTCTAGACAAACCCAATGGCTAATTCAAATTAATTGGAATTGTTAAAGGTGTGAAGGAGTTTGAGGCAAGATGGATTGGATGGGCAGGTGTAAATGTGCCTGATGATGCTGGACAGAATGCGCTTACTAAAGCTTTGGCTGAAAAGGTGCTGAGTTCGGTCTACAATCTTTTTGGCCTTTGAAATTATGATGTATCGTGAATTGTTTAGCTTGTGACATCGATATTCAAAATATTTATTTTTGCTTCATGAGAATAACAGAAATTATAACCTCACTGAAGTTTTTCCATCACTGCAGAGGTGTATTCCTGTCTTCCTTGATGAAGATATTGTTCACCAATACTACAATGGCTATTGCAACAACATATTATGGCCTCTTTTCCATTATCTTGGGCTTCCTCAAGAAGATCGGCTAGCCACTACCAGAAGTTTTCAATCTCAGTTTGCTGCATATAAGAAAGCAAATCAAATGTTTGCTGATGTCGTTAACAAGCACTATAAAGAGGGTGATGTTGTTTGGTGCCATGACTACCATCTCATGTTCCTACCGAAATATCTAAAGGAATACAACAGTGAAATGAAAGTTGGTTGGTTTCTCCATACACCCTTTCCTTCCTCTGAAATTCATAGGACATTGCCATCTCGATCAGAGCTGTTGCGTGCAGTTCTTGCCGCAGATTTAGTTGGGTAAGAATGGGTCTCAAGCGGAACTTCTTGCATCACCCTTCATGTACCATTGTTACTATTTAGTTGTGCTGTTTGATTGACATTGATGAACTACCATTATTATTTCTTATAATTTGCCTCTACATTGTTGAAATTTTAGAGGGACTAATGCCATAGCCTCTTACAGTATTGTTCTTATATTTTCATGCAATACAAAAACTTTCATGCTACAAAATGAAGACTGAAAACTTGAAAATTTTAAACTGCTATTTTTCTTGGTTAATCTATCAACAACCCAAATTTTGAAGTTCCATTTGATTTGTAACATACATGACGTGGGATGTCATAAACCTTCTTATTCAACATGTTATCTGAAACTGGATATGACATATATTTTGATTTCTGAACTTATAAATCTTTAAGATATACAGGATATTTGTGAAGCTTCAACATACTATCATGTTTGGTTACTGTTCCTTGAGAGAGCTGCTTAATTGATGACTGACATATGAAATTGAGAAAAAGAATGTGTTAAATGTAGCAATTCCATCATTTCTTCTTATTATTCTTATTATTATTATTATTTCTTTCCACGGTTTAGATAAATATAAAAGATAGTAAAAAAATTATGAAGTGAAGAAATCAAACCTTAATGGATCGTACTAGATCCATCAGGCATCCTGGAAGCGTTGTTGGTTTTTCTGCTTTGAATGTGTGTGCTTGACTAATGGTTGCAAGTTGACATATGTTGTGGATCCGTAAAGATGATGTTCATACTTAAAATATTCATTTCTTCTACAAGCATTATAATTTGTTCTGTTCTGATTAATATTATCCAACCCTTTCAAAACCTATTAGTCGTACTTCTCATTCCTTGCACCATGGTTCATATATGAAAAATAGTGACCTTTTTACAAGCTGAAGTTCTCATAGAAACTATGCAAGTTTTAAGTTTTGTTATTGCTGTTTCTAATTGGATGATAAGATATTAGTTCTTGGTTAATTTCTTCTTGCATTGACATATATTGTGGATTGACAGCTCATTTCTCTTTTATTATTGCTTTCTAAAATACATACATTGGATATTCTACTTTTACATCCTTAAGTAGCTGATTATATACTACATTAAAAAATTTCCTTTGTTACTAGAATCAATTGCATATTTTGGTTGCGAGAGTTGATTTTTCTACTGCAGCCTCATATCTTAAACTTGCAAAACAACACTAATTTGTACTTCGTGTTTCAGTTTCCATACTTACGATTATGCAAGGCATTTTGTTAGTGCTTGTACTCGTATTCTCGGACTTGAAGGTACACCGGAAGGAGTAGAGGATCAAGGAAGGTTGACTCGTGTGGCTGCAGTATGTTGAAGTTATTTTGTTAATTTTGTCCACTCTTGCCTTGATACTGTTTTTGATATTTCAAAATCATTTCTAACATAATAACATTGGTAAAACTAATTTCTTACTATTGGTGACAAAAATTTCTTAGCATTTTGTGTGTTAACAGAATTCTATTTTGAACTACTTAGAACTCAACCTTTTTACACTTACTTTTGTTCTTTATGGTGGTGGAACTTCAGTTTCCTATTGGGATTGATTCGGAACGGTTCATTCGTGCACTTGAGCTTCCTCAAGTCCAGGAACACATCAAAGAATTGAAAGAAAGATTTGCTGGGCGTAAGGTTTGTGTTATTTCCCTTTTGGTGCCATTTTATGCTCATAAAATTTAGTGTACTTTACTTGCTATATTTGTGAGTAATTTAAATAAACTTTGATGATTTTGTGGATTTGTTGAAAATTCAGTTCAGTAGTGAGTTGATTAAGTTCTAAAACCTTGGGCTGAATTTAGTCAACATCAGAGGTTTTGAATCATCTAAAAAATCTTGCCAAGTCCATCATGTTTCATATTTACCTAAAAAATATGAATATAGTTGACCTTTTTAGTGTTCGGTTAAGTCTACTTGTTGAGCAATACCATTGGGTTGGGGTTGAGTTTTTGAGCTACGGTTGAGTTTTTGAGCTAGGGTTTCGTTGTTGTTAAAAAACCTCTAGCGGATAAATTTCCTTGCATTCTGTCTCCATAATAGGGTTATAATCCATGAGCATCTGGCATGTTTGTTGCTATTCACAGAGTTTACCAATGCCTCTGGTGCTTCAAGCCTACACCTACATAATTTTGAATCTTAGAACATAATTTTGCTTTCCAAGAGAACACTGTTTTATGTATTTTACCCAGTGTTATTTGTGCATGTTTTTACTTTTCTTCTGCTTATTTCTTCCCCAAACGTTTTTTATTTGAATTTATTGACCACAATTGCTGGGAAACCTAGTTTTGGGTGGGAAATGCACCTCCCCAGCAACATATTTCTGAATCACAAGCAACCCTTAGGAACTGTGAATGAAATGTTCCACAATGCCTAGGAAGTATCATTGATTTTTTTGAAAATACATTGGAAATATTCTGGGATTTTTTTGGAAAATGTAATGAATCTTATGAGAATCGTATTTCACCCCCAGCTCCCCGCGGGTGGGTCGCAATCTCATTTTTCGTACTTTCTAATTGAAGCTTTTCCTGGAATGATTCAGCAGAACATTTTTAAAAAGGTCTTTTACTTTTTTTTCCCGTTAAAGACATCTTTAGTTTTATACTACCATAAAAGCTAGGGAATCCTTCGTGAAAGATCTAATACCTTGAACAAAGAGAATCCAGTTGCTTAGATTAGTGAAATTGTTGAGATTAGGGCTTACTGGATCTGGTACTGATTAAAATTAGGATTTTTCCAAGGCATTCTATCGAAGTTTTTCTTTATATTTCCTACTATAAAGTATCTGTCCTATTCCAAATTGTTTCCAACTTCACATTTCCCTTACAATTTTGGACTATGCCTCCTCCTATTGCTGTGCTGTTTCCCACCTCCTCTTCCCATTTAGATAATTATGGTATTGCTACCTCTTGGTCTACTAAGAAATCAACTGCATGTTTTCTGCAGTAAATTGTTGCCGCATGCCATAAATTGTATAAGCAAAACTGTAATTTTGTCACTGATTTTAAGACTTGGAGTCGTGTGTCTTTCATGTCACTCGTTAGAAAGGTAGTTAAAAGTTCTTAAGTATGATCTTTTTTTTTTCTTAGTTGGTACTCACATACATATGCCTCCACTGAGGCTTGAACCCCTGACCTCCCTTTGGGAAGTAAGGGCCTGATACCGCTACGTCACTAGCTCGTTGGTTAAGTATGGTCTTTTTTGTTAGCAAGGATTAGAACTTCTGATTTTCTTCTAGTTCTATCTATTAAGGTTGTGCTTGGCAAATGGCTGTGGGAATTCAACATGAAGGTTGAAATTTTGGTTCCGTTTTGTTCTTGCTATCTATGGCAGTATGTGAGGTGAATTCCTCTATGGTCTGCCTCTTCTTTGTGATAATATGCTGGCCACCCTTGTCATATTAATTCAACTCATTTTACTGTTGATTTTGGTTAGTGTAGTTGTTTGGAAAGAATTCTTAGAATCAATCTTTAGGTTGAATGTTAGGTATCGTAGGTACAATAAAGAATTGGCGGAGTCTACCTTGTTTTTGCATTGGATACAATTATCATGGCTGTTATGGTGTTTCTAGTAGGATCTAATTTTGGTTTACAGATATTGTTATCTGTTAATTAGCAGTCACTTGACCAACATTCGTTCATTTCTGGATTTCATTTTTGTTTTGGTCGTTTACTTGCGCTAATTTGATGTTTCTTCACAGTTTTTCATCCTCTCCTCTTCTTTATCTGTTTCCCTCTACCTCCCCTCCTTTCAGAAATTATGTATTGTCTACCGTAATTGGTCCTTGAGGGAATAAATTGTAACTTTCTTTATCTTTTTTTGGTTTTTTTTTTTTTGGGGGGAAACCAAAAGTAAAGTTTTTGAAGTGAGGCATTGAAATTTATCCTCTACTTAATCAGTTATAAATTATTTTTCTTCTTTGTTATTGTGCAAAGTTATTTCTTGATCAAAGAAATATTAATTTTGAAACATGATTGAAAAGCTTTGTATGTGTGAAAAACATCAAATCAAAATTTTTATTTACTGCATAGGAGCCAAGATAATTAACAGATAATGTGTTTTGATTTTCTCAAACAGAGTTGCAAGGTAGTAAGGTACGATTATCATAATTGCCAAAAACACTTACCTTGTTCTCCCCTGAAACTCTGATCCGAATAGAAGCTGCATCAGTGTGGAATGAGGAAAAGACACTGTCGTCACTGGTTTTTCATAAGGCTGCCGGGGATTTTCAGGGATGAAAGATTGGATATGTATGCCCCATTGGAATTATATTTTTTCTTTTTGAGTTTCGGTTTTTACTTTTTAGTTATTCATTAATAAATAAAATGTATTGAGAATAACGAATTGGATTTGTATGAAAATATGTATATTTGTGCACTACACTTGTTTGTATGTGAGTTAGTTAGCTGTTTTAATTGAATACACTTTTTAGATGATATTTGTAAGGTGTATTGTGCTTTTGATTGTAACATCAGTGAAGCACCAGATCAGCTATTGATTTTTCTGGATTTATCATAGAGTTGCAATTATTATTATAAGAAAATTTGCAATCTCTCTCTCTCTCCCTCTGTGTGTGTGTGTAGATATATGTTTATCTATCTGTTTTCCTATTGGTTTAGTTTTTTACTCATTGATCTAGTCACTGTGTTAACACATGGTTACGCGTACCATTTGTTTTCCAAATGCTCAGGCATTTCCTTCTTGTTGCTTTTCAGATTTGAGTGATATAATATTTATATGTAGTGTTTAAAAATTTTAAAAACGATGATGTTGTATTGTTTTTTAACTTCCTCTTAATCTATTAGTGTTGTGCATCATTCTTTTCATCACTAGAACACTTGTATGCATAAAGTTATTTATGCACGGACAAAATAATTTGTTCTTATCATTTTGTTTGGAAAGTTGAAGACTCAAAAGTTCTTTATTTCCATATTATATTTGCAGTGATTATTTGGTCTGTTAACTAATTTTTGGGTTATTATTTTTCTCACAGGTAATGTTGGGCGTTGATCGCCTTGATATGATTAAAGGAATTCCCCAAAAAATATTGGCATTTGAAAAGTTTCTTGAGGAAAACCAAGTTTGGCGAGATAAAGTGGTTTTGTTGCAAATCGCTGTGCCAACTAGAACAGATGTTCCTGAATGTATGCTCCTTTCGTAACATGCTCGACCTTATCTCTTTTTAAGTTTCTGTTTACATCATGCTTTGTCAAATGGGTTCTTTTCTGGAACTAAGTTTCCTTTGTCAGAGCAGAAGATTTGGCTTGCCCAAGTTTCTAATTATTTTTAACAATGGATTTTCCTTAGAACTTGGGATTTACGCCCCTTCCTTAATATGATCAACTTTGACTTTATTTTTTTTATTGCGCTGCTTACATCATTCTCATCTAACTTTCCTTTTACCGGAGCGGAAGATTTGGGTTGCCAAATGTGCTAGTTATTCTTAATAACTGAAGTCATTAGAACTAGGGTTTGAGGCTCAAAGGTTGGCATTTTAGTATGGGATGCTGTATAGGGCATAGAGTGGGAAAATCAAGATTATTAGTTGCTCAAGGGCATATGGAGATTCTGCTAAATGAAGCCAAGGTCTCTCCAACTATTGATCTTTGAACCATATTTCAATAGGTCTGGGATCAAATCGTTCAATATATAGGAAATGTTGTTTATTAATGAAAATGGGACTACAAAGTCTACAAGGGCCTAATTTTTCTCATTCTAGAATCAGTTGCATGAAACTTACTCGTTGTATTAGTTGCATTAGCTTACAATTTGCAGTCATTTTCCAGTGGTGTTGTTTGATTAACCGTCCCTGAGAGGCTAAGTAGTGTTTGGTTTGGAATTGGAGACAATAGATTTGACTACTGCAGAAACAGCCCCAAATCAATGACGACTTGCTATTGGGATTACTACAGTAAGTACTGAGCAATGAACTTGTCTAAGATGTTTAAGAAAGAACCTGAACGAGACCAAAATAGGTTTCACTTACATTTCAAGAGCACAAGGAAGAGACTTGATATTTTAACTCCCTGGATTTCTATTTTTCTTGGTTGCATCTCCTACATCGTTTAAATTCATGATGTTGGTTCAACTTCTTTACTATAATTACTCTCAGGGTTTGTCAAAACGGTGAAGAACGGAAAATATTCGATTAGGGATTAAATGCATGTTTCCTTATGAGAGTTGAAGCCCCTCCTGTATGCAGTCAGAAATTTCTGTGATATCAGTTTCTCCATGATGCAAGCAGCCAAATATTTTTTCCCAACACTAGTAAAAAACTTTGCAAGGATTTGTATACCTATGTGTTACGACAAACGCCATGAACCAAGATCAAATCAAGAATTACGACAGAAAAGTAAACACATCACACACAAAGAACATAAAGATTTACGTTGTTCGGCAAAGCCTATGTCCACGTGAAGATCTAGTGAAAGCTTTCACTATGCGAAAAACAGGAGATTATAAGTTTCAGTTCCCAAACCGTAGCTCTCTCTCCTACGGTTTTCAATGTTCTCTCTTTTCCCACTCCAAACCCTAAACGCCCTTATATACTGGGCTACAAGAGGGTACTAAACATGGTCCACTACCTGTAAGTAGAAAATGGGTCAAAAGCCCATTTTTTGGGTCAGTTGCAACCCGGACCGAAAATAAATTTTGGGCCACAACATCACACTATGTCTATCTAATGGGTGTCCTTACTTCCATTAACAATTACAATGTTCAAGCCTTTGAAGTTGTCTTCTAAATAAGCCAATTACTTGCACTTTTTTCTTCTTTTTATTTGATTTCAATTTAGTTTTAAATCCAGACTTAACTCAGTTTTCCATTTCTTACCGCTTTGATCTAGAACTTTTTTCTTTTTCCAAAATGACCAGTAAATTTACATATACAAGCTATGATGAATGCTTGCGAGTAAATTGCCTTAATGCCTACTTAGAGCTTGCAGAGTTTATGTGCCTTTTCTAGTGTATACCATTACATTTTTAATTTTGCTTTTTCGCAGATCAAAAACTTACAAGCCAAGTTCATGAAATTGTTGGACGCATTAATGGCAGATTTGGAACTCTGACTGCTGTTCCAATACATCATCTGGTCAGTCTTTACTTTGTTACTCATCACTTAATTGATGATATACCTGATTCATGTTTGAGATTGTTTGTCACTGCTAAATATATAATTTGATAGTACATCTTTTTCCTAGTATTATCCTTATCATACAATAACCCTTTCCAGAAAGAATGTACATTTGCTCACTGAGGTTTTGGGTTATAAATTGTAATATCATGCAAGATGTCCTTGGCTTGGACCTTGTCAATTCGTACCGCTTATATCACGATAAATAGTGACCAGGTTTTGTTTGTACTGTATCATCAGGATTCTTTGAAGGCTAGATCATGAAATGTGCACAATAAGAATTTTTTTTTTTTTTTTTTTATTTGGCACCATCTTGTAATTTTGTTAATCCATGACAATTGTTGGTTTTATGTTTTCTCTCACAAATATTCTTTAACTTTATAATTTATAGTACAATGTGATATTTCCTAAATTGAACTTCTTCTAAACCTCCAGGACCGTTCTCTTGACTTTCATGCATTATGTGCACTATATGCTGTCACAGGTACTAATTCTTAGTCTCTGACATTTATAATTCTGTCTTTTAGTTAGCCAAAAATCTAAGCACTTCTTTTTCTTAAATGAGTGCCAATAGGCCTTCATTATGCAATTTAACTAACAGTATATTGCAAATGAAAGAAGACAATTAGATTGGGGAAAGGGAATACCATTCTTAGCAAGTGAATACCATTCATACCTAAATATGTCCATAACTCCTAGATCTATGTAGTGGCCATGCATTTATGTTTTCTATTCATTAGTTGCCAGGATTGTCCATAAATATACAAGTTTTAGTGTCCACTTTCATACTTACAGGTGCTGCTGTAATTATGTTGTATTTTGATACTTAATGTTTCACCTACTAAAAAATAGTAATTTCTTGTTTCTCCAACTCATCAAACAGTCTAAACCACAAAATGAGAGAAATTGTTGAGTTCCCTTCCATGGGAATGTTGAGAGTGAATTTCCATAACCCAAAAGTAATGTCTCTTGGTGTCATTGTACTTTTATGCCTTGTCAATACGTCGCACTGGTACATAGTTGCCACATTATATGGTTGTGAGCTAAGTTAGAAAGTGCAGGTGCGGGAGTGAGAGCGTGAAAGCATCAAAATCTAAAATTGCTTGAGAAGCAGGAGCGTCTTCAATGCGTCTGTGCGTAGCATGTATATGTACCAATCTTACTTAATATATGATCATTTTAATTTAATAAATATCATTTTTGTCCATTTTTATTTTAACTAGTCTAAAACCTTTATATAGGTTATCTTATTTGTCGCTTTTATGTAAGCATATATCTATATATAAATGTATCCTGTTCAGTTTAAGTGAATATCAAAATTTGTTAAATAAAATAATTGACTAAGTTTTGCACAAAAATTAGTGGTTTGGTGGTAAGCAGCTTCACCTTTTCTTGTCAAGTCATTACTTTTGCTTGCATATGAGAAACATTTAATAAATAAAGCACAAATAATCTTTGGAAGTGGAATGCCTGTGATACCCCTCGATTCTAGAGCCACGGGTGATCAAGTCCGAGCACAGAATACAAGGGATACCAAACAATTAATATTTAAACAAGCATTTGAATACAAAAAGAATAATAAAGAATTAAATAAATAATCAGCTGAAGGAACCTAAATAATAAATCCTTATTTTAAAATCCTCAAATAAAAATAATTAAAAATCCCATACTAAAATCCTCCAATCCTCTGATACCAGTAATTAATTAAAACTACAACTCGGGAATCCATATTATGGACCCCTAATAATCTCCTAACTGAAATAACTTAACTGAAATAAAACTAGTAATTAAACCATGAAGAAGAGTCTTACGTAGAGTCGGAAGAGTGAATGATTGTCTCTGTTCAGCACGAACAATCTCTAAGAATGGAACTGATGAACACCTGAAAAATAATGGTGGGTCAGGCCCACATACAAGTTCTAAATCTACTACATCCCAAACAGAGACCCAATACACGTACACATCATAATTAATTCAACAATAACTAAATAGTCCATATATAGATATATACACACTAAAGGAACCTCACTAGACTATAGAGTTGTCTCAACCTGAATAGTAGGCAACATGCAAAAACGTACATATAGTGGGCATGAGTACCTAGACCTACCAGGGTACACAACTACACTATATCTAGTTACACATCCCTGGCAATATACGCACCCTAACCACTGATCCTGAGACTCAAGCTCATATCATGGCGTATAATCATATATTTAAAATCCGTTCTATCCAACCATCCAAATAAACTATCTAATTATTATTTTAATAAAATGTCATCCAACTATTCCATTGACCTGACACGAATAAGTAGGACTTAACACTATGGTTAATCCGTTCCCTTATTAAAAATAGGTAGGACTTAACTCTTACGTTAATCCATCCCTACTATGCCCCCATCTCATAATGGTGCATTAATCCATAGCATAATCAAATAAAAGTTTCGAATCCAAGGATAATGTCAGTAATATTTTCATATAATAATCCAAATAAATATGATACAAATCATATACACATCCTTTGCATTTACTTGAGCAAAAATATTAATTCTAAGTAACATGCGTTTAATTTACATCATAAGAAATTAACATGTATCTCAAACTAAATTGTACATAAGTTCTAATTAAATTACTTTAAATCTAAATAATTGATTAAAATAATTTAATCCAACAATATTTAATTAATTTAACCTTTTTAAATTAATTAAATTCCATACTTAGCATGTAAACTTAAATCATGCATTCCAATTCTTAATGAATCTATTTACTTTAATTAAATATTTAATGTAGATCCATCAATCCAAAAATAACAAAATAATAATACTAATTTAATATTTCAGCATTAAACAGATTTACATACAAATTTATTTAATGCCAAACCCATTATGTACCAAACTGATGCATTCCTAAAACAATTGTCCTTTCTTCTCATATGGTGTGCACAATATATTGATTCTAATTACAATTGCATTACAAATTAATTCATTCAAATCAGTATGTTTCTATTCCTCGTTCAGCATGCATTTATAAAGGAAACAATTGCAAAATTTGATTTCATATACATATGGAATACAAACTGATTCGGGCAAACATTAGCCTCGTTCGGCGTGCATTCATAAAGGACAAATTCAAATTTTGACTTCACATATTATACTATACAAACTGATTCATGTAAACCATCACTACCCTCGTTCGGCGTGCATTCATAAAGGACAAATTCAAATTTTGACTTCCCATATTATACTATACAAACTGATTCATGTAAACCATCACTACCCTCGTTCGGCGCGCACCCAAACTGATTCATGCTATAACTAACTCATGTGTGGAAAAAAAATAGATAAATTAAAATAAAAACTAAGGCCATCAATAGTGTTAAGTTCGGCAGAAAAAAAAAAGAATTAAATCTCATTATTAGAACATGAATTTAAATTTTCAAATTAATCAATAAAATTTGATTCAATTAATTCATTTAAAGAACCTATAATTAATCTAGCATGCATAGAGTACGAATCAAAGGAGAAGAGAAGAATTAAAACTTGCCTTTAGGGATTTGATAAAAACCCTAACCTCCTTCTTCCTTTTTCTCTTCCTTCCTCTTCTTTCTTTCTCTCTCTAAACTACAGTACGTGATATATTTTCTAACCTCTTTCACAACTCTATAGTTATATATTTATAGGCAACTAAAATAACCTTAATCCTTTTTCCATTCCAAGACAAACTAAAATAAAATAAAAATAAAATAAAATAAAATTTAAATACTAAAAAGGTAACTTAAATATATGTTACGTACAATCTGTGTGTACTCCTTTTTATATATAATATATAAATATATATCAGATTATTATTTAAGGACTTTCCTTATATATATATATATATATTTATTTATTAAATATACATATACATAGGTAATTATCCGTACCCATTAAACCCCTTATCCAAGTAGTCCATGTCAGTCCAATTGATTGGTCAATTACTACTATCCCTATCCAATTCCTTAAAAATATAAAAATAAAAATAAATAAAATAAAAATAAAAATAAACAATTAAATTCCTAAATAAATACACATCATCACATACAATTCAATTTAAACAAATAATTAAATTAACACATTTAAACAAATAATTAAATCAATTAAACCAATAAACAATTAGCCAAGAAATCAACTAAATAATTAAATGCAATTAAAATAAGTTTAAAAAAAATACTGAGAATATCCTTTTAAAATTAGGGGTATTACAATGCCTTTGTAAAATGTATTGATCTGCAGATTCAAAAACTGAATTCGTGATTCTGAAATTTGGGTTCGTGATTTCCAAGCAAATTTGCTCCTAGTTTGCCAATTCATGTGTGGAACGTGGGATAGACCTAAGAAGCGAATCGTGTGACTAAGGTTGTGAGCAAGCTGATAGTCATCTTTTAGCACATCAGAGATATATGAGATTGTGTGCTTCAATTACTTTGCAACTTGCAAGTATAATGAAATTATGAAAAAATTTGTCTGCTTATGCAATTTAAATCTAGGTATATAAAAGTAACTTGGTAAAATTGGCGTACTCAATTTGAGAGCCTGGCTATCATTATATACAAGAGGAAAATTACAAATATGGAAAGAGAATAAAATCAAATCAAAATAAAAATAAAATCCCTAAATATTAGCCTATATTGAAGACCCAATAAATCTGCCACAATCATTGAGTCAACTTATGGATATGATTTCCAACACTCCCCCTCAAGCTGGAGCAAATATGTTGACCAAGCCCAGCTTGACTATGGAAGACTGGAGAAGAGAAGGCCCAACAGACTTTGTGAACACATCTGCAGTTTGTTCTGAAGAGTGAACAAAAATAGGATTAATGATACCTGATTGAACCTTCTCTCGAATAAAGGGAATGTCTACCTCAATATGTTTCGACTTTTCATGTAAAACAGAATCGGAAGCAAGCATAATGGCTGATTTATTGCCACAAAACAGCCTTGAAGAACCTTTCTCTACAAGACCCAACTTTCCCAAAATTGATTGAAGCCAAAGGAGCTCACAAGTACCTTGAGTCATAGTTCGGTATTCAGCTTCAGCAGAAGATCTAGAGACAATAGCTTGCTTCTTACTCTTCCATGATATGAGATGATTACCATAGAAAGTACAGAAGCCAGAGGTAGAACGTCTATCTGTCTTACATCTAGCATAGTCTGCATCAACAAAGTATGAGAGTCCAGACTGATTTCCTGAGGCATAGAACAGACCAAGACCAGGGCACGACTTAAGATACCTCAAAATATGGTAGACTGCATCCATATGAGTTGAGCGAGAGGCTTGCATGAATTGACTAACCACACTAATAGCAAATGTCAAATCGGGCCTTGTGTTAGTCAAGTAGATAAGACGACCTACTAAACGTTGATACACAGATGATCTGAAAGTAATTCCCCTGACTCAACAGAGAGTTTGAGATTGGGGTCCATAGGAGTGGAAGCGGGTCGACACCTAAGCATGCCAGTATCTTGAAGAAGATCCAAAACATATTCCCTTTGAGATAAAGAAATTCCACGACGGGATCTAGCAACCTCAATTCCAAGAAAATATCGAAGAGGACCTAAGTCCTTCACATCAAATGACTTTTGAAGATGAAGTTTCGCCTGAGCAATCCCTGAAGCATCATCACCTGTGATAATGATATCATCTACATATACCAATAACATAATGCAACGACCATCAGCGCGACGTCGAATAAAGCAAGTATGGTCTGAGTGGCAGCGCACAAAGCCCATGGATAGAACAACATCGCTGAAACGACTAAACCAAGCTCTAGGAGATTGCTTCAGACCATAAAGAGACTTCCGCAGCCTACAAACTTTCCCAGCATTCTCCCCCTCAGCCCGAAATCCAGGGGGTGGATTCATATATATAGTCTCAAGTAAGTCTCCATTAAGAAATGCATTCTTGGCGTCTAATTGATGTATAGGCCAAGAATGGGCAGCAGACAAGGAGATAAGCAGTCGCATAGACGTCAACTTTGCCATAGGAGCAAAGGTACCCCTAAAGTCTTTGCCCGGAATCTGAGTAAAGCCTTTTACCACCAACCGAGCCTTATATCGATCAATAGAACCATTGGCTAAGTACTTCACATTAAAGACCCATTTGCAACCAACCGTTTTCTCCCCAGCAGGTAAAGCAACAAGTTCCCATGTATTATTATGTTGTAAAGCATCCATTTCTGTTGTCATAGCAAACACCCAATTGGGATCCTGGAGGGCCTCTGACACGGATCGAGGAATAGAAACGGTCCCAATCTTGCCCAGGAAGGATTTATATGCACCTGAAAGACCATCATAGGAGACATACTGGAAAATAGGGTGGTTAGTGCTACTAGAAAAACCATAAAAATTAGGAGGGTGACGATCACAGGTAGGATAACGGGAGGTATGCTCAGGAATGGTAGGAGCCATAGGAGAAGGAGAGTTACCTGGACCTGGTTATGAAGATGATTCTGGCAGGGGAGGTTGAGTGCGATGGCGACGAGAGTAGACCTGCAAAAGTGGAGGGGAACCCTGCGTGGATGGAGAAGGAGATTCCAGGACAGTGTGATTTTCAAAGAGAGGAACAGGACGGGCAATAGGAGAAATCTCCTTCTCCAGATCAAAAGAGAGAGAATCCTGTACCACATAATTAGTACTATAAAAAGGAACAGTTTCATGAAATGTCACATGAAGAGAATGATACATATGTTTGGTCACAGGATCATAACAACGATAGCCCTTTGACATAGCAGAATACCCCAAGAAAATACACCTAATAGATTTATCATCAAGTTTATGACGAGAAGGACTACAATTATGAACAAAACAAGTACAGCCGAAAACACGAGGCAGAAGGTGAAGTGGGGCCTTACCACCCAAAACTCGACTGGGAGTACGATTAATCAGAAAAGCAGCTGTAAGAACAGCAATGTGCCAATAGAATTTAGGCACATGCATACCACTCATAAGGCATCGGACCATAGACATAGGATGACGGTTTTTGCGTTCAGCCACGCCATTTTGCTCAGGAGTGTAGGGGCAAGTGAGTTGATGTAAAATCCCCTTTTTATTAAGTTCAGTCCGGAACTCATTTGAAACATATTCTCGTCCATTATCAGAACGAATATTATGGACAACAGTGTTATACAGGGTTTTAATCATTTGAAGAAACTAGGTAAATAAAATAAACACATCAGATTTCTTTTTCAATAAATAAACCCAAGTACAACGAGAATAATTATCAATAAATGTCACATAATATCGATGTCCAGAGAAAGCAGTAACTGGGGAAGGGCCCAGACATTAGAATGAATAAGATCAAACATACTAGGAGCACGACTCATATGAGAAATATAGCTAGTTCTAGTATGTTTAGAAAGCTCACAAACTTCACATTGAAACTTATGGTCCTTACATGCTTTATTTAACGAAGGAAACAATAGACATACATACTGAAAGTTTACATGCCCCAAACGTGCATGCCACAGACTAAAGGTGCGAAAAGAAACATCATAAACACTAGAAGTAGGTAGGACAGAAGCTTGAAGACTCGTTCCTGGTGGTTCCCCAAAGTAGTAAAGCCCATCAGGCTCATAACCCCTGCCAAAAATCCTCTTCGAACAAAGGTCCTGCAACAAACAGTGATCTGGTAAGAATATAACTGCACATTGGAGGTTGTTTGCAAGCCGGCTAACAGATAAAAGGTTAAAGGCAAGTTTAGGTACATGAAGGACAGATGAAAGAGTAATATCAGGAGATAGACAAACATCACCCTTACTGTGAATGTAAGATGTAGAGCCATCCGCAAGATACACAGATTGGGTAACAGGTATGACATTAGAAGAAAAAACTGATAACTCACCAGTCATGTGATCATTGGCCCTAGAATCCAGAACCCAAGTGGGCTGCTTGGCCTTAACATGAAATGCAGTAGGAGTACCTGTAGCAATAGTGGCAGTGGGAGGAGTTGAAGGAGCTCCAACTCTAGAAGCAAGGGAGCCAAGCTAGTCCTGGATCTGCCCAATCTGAGACTGAAGCTGGCTCAGTCCAAGAAATACTGTAGATCCACCAGTAGTAAAAGAAGTTTCTGCAACAGCTGCAGTACGAGAAGAACCAGTTCCAGATAAACGGTTCCTAGAAAATTTTTGCTTCAGTTCAGGATGGAGTTTGAAGCAACGAGCCTTAACATGTCCAACCCCTCCACAATGGTGACAAATAATCTGACCTCCAGAAGCTCGTGATCCAAAGGTGGCTGCAAAAGCCATACTATCCCCAGCAGGCTCAGACACTGGTAGAGGAACAAGTGAGGGATGAATTAAACGGTGCCTGCGTGTTTCATTATCAACAGTAGCAAAGGCTTCCAACAGGGATGGCATTGGTGATGCATTCAAGATCTGAGATTTTAGTGGTTCAAATTCTGGGCTTAATCCCATCAAAAACTGATAGGTATGCTGACGATCAAGACGTTTGACAAGAAGAGAGGCTGCCTCAGAAGGAAATTCAATGAGAGGCTAATATTGAGCTAGTTCCTCCCAGCGAGATCTCAAATACCCAAAATAATCAGCTACAGACAAATTCAGGCCTTCCTGCAAGGCTTTAGCAATATCTTGGTATAATTCAAAAATACGAGCATCATTCCTAGAATGAGCATACATTTGATTCAAAACAGTCCACAAGTCATTAACAGAGTCATAAAACATGAATATGTTATAAATGCGTTCCTCCATAGAATTAAACATCCATCCTAAAATGGTGCAATTGTCCATATCCCACTGAGCATATTTAGGATCTTTAATATCTGGCATCTTTTCAGTACCCTAAATCCACCCTGATTTGCCTTTTCCACTAATATAGAGGCGGAGGGAACGAGCCCAGGATGAAAAATTACGGCTATTCAACAGCACACTAGTAACTCGTTGAGACAGTGTGTGTTGCGCCGAAAAGAGAGTTTCTTTATTATTACTTGATTCAACCATAATATTACATAGAACAATTCAATAGATTACCAATAATTTCAAATAAAGGAGGAATAAACCTGATTTTGATCAAACCAAGAAGCCGGAGACATGGCGGTCTGATCTGAAAATGCTGCCGAATATCCCGACAGCCCCAAAAAAGTACAAATACGTCTTCTGACCCTTAGTGCATGAAAAAGACTAAGGGAATACCCCTACAGGGGTCGAACCTAGATTAGATTGGCTCTCCCTAGGACTGTCACAACAGCGGCCTAAAAAAGAGAGAGGGTCTGTGAAGAAAAGGAAAAAAAGAAATAGGGAAGGGTCTGTGATGAGATAGAGAGAGAGATTAAAAGAGGCGGTGAAAGAAAGAGAGAGGGGGAAGGCGTAGGTTTGAAGCTCTGATACCAAAAAGTAACTTGGTAAAATTGGCGTACTCAATTTGAGAGCCTGATTATCATTATATGTAAGAGGAAAATTACAAATATGGAAAGAGAATAAAATAAAATCAGAATAAAAATAAAATCCCTAAATATTAGCCTATATTGAAGACCCAATAAATCTGCCACAATCATTGAGTCAACTTATGGCTATGATTTCCAACATATATAAATATAATGTTGGGTTTTTTGGTACTTGGATTGAACTTTGGGCACTTGGAAGTGGAGATGACTGTTTGAATGTTATTGATTTTTTTGGAATCTCAAATCAATATGATTTTAGATCATAAAGATAGAACTATCAATTAACTGATTTTATTTATTTATTTATATATTATGCATCAACTAAATGCTAATTATGTGAAATTTTGAGATATCTGTTTGAGGAGGTTTTGGACTGGTTTTTTTCTCTGAAACTGGAAAGAAGTAGATTGATGATGTGTTTTCCTTTTTCTTTTTGCTCAGATGTAGCACTTGTCACATCTTTGCGCGATGGAATGAATCTTGTTAGCTATGAATTTGTCGCATGCCAAGATTTAAAGAAAGGAGTTCTCATTCTTAGTGAAGTAATTTTCAATACCTTGTATCTGTGCTTTCACTTATTTTGATTGACACATGCATTTTACCTTTTCGTGTCATTTTAATGATCTTGTGATTGTTGGGAAAATGGAAATAAAATTTAGAATATTTTAATTCAAATAAGCTTGCTAATGATGAAGTTCAGTATTTTGTTGTTCTCTGAAAAGATGCTGTTATGTACTTAGGAATATATTTTAAGTTTAGTTGACTACTAGTTTTCGTGTTATTAGTGAACAGATAATTTTGTAAATTAAACTTACTATATATCTAATGATTATTTACAACACTGATTTGACAAAGATTTAGAAATATATTAACTTGTAGCCCTCTGTGTGTCATGCTATCAGTTTATTGCTTCTATATACATTTGGGAATCAGATCCTCGCTAGTTTTTGGGAACCTTGTTTCAAGGATGCAGCACAACTATTTCGAGGTGCAACACAATTAACCGAGTACTGAAATAAAGGTGTTGCAAACTCGAAATAGTTGTGTTTCATCCTTGAAACAATTGTGTTGCATACTCGAAATGTGTGTTGCACATGGTACATCACGTGATATGCACGGAGAGGTTCCGGTTCCATCCGCTTGATGGCACTCAAGCAAATGTTTCATGTTTTATTTCCAGAAAACATGTTTGTGGGATGATAACAGAGAATAGGAGTACGTTACGACAGGAATGTTGGACATGTGGTTCTCTTACAAGTGATATCAGATGTACATCATTAGCACCACAAAAGTAAATTGGGAGATCTGATCATATTTTGGATATTTAATTAAAATTTGACGAGTAGGTCACTATATAAGGTTTTTTCTTCACTTGGTAGCCGGATTAAAATTAGTTTTGAATTTTATACACTCTATTTAAACCCACATAAAATATGTTTTGACCATCACCCTATTCCTATATTTATCGAAACTAATTTTAATAAATATGGGAACAGAGTTGAAAGGGAAATGGAGTAGCCTAAGGAGCACGTATGGAAGTGATAACCTTTACCGTAGTTATGCTGCAAAGACACTACTCAACATGGATAAGTTGATGCTTCAAATCCTAAAAAAGGTAGTATTAGGTCATAACAGTATATAAATGGTCTTGGCCATACGTGCTTATTATTACATGAAACGGATATACATTTTTTATTAATTTATTCAAATTTTGTTAAAACAGTGGTAAAATTGGAAATTTGAGCTCAAAAAACATCATGTCCATATATCTGTTTGTCTACTTCCATTATATTACTAATCTGCTGTCATACTTTTTTTACTTTTTCCATGCAAGAAGTTTCCAGGTCTTTTTTATTTTTTATTTTAAGTTCAGGGCTTGTCTAAAACATTATTAAAAGCATTCCAGGGTGGATCGAGTGCACTGCAGGATCCAAAATAGAAGATCTCTGCATTTAAGTTCTCTGAAACATTTAACAAGAGTTGGTCATCTGTGGTTAATCTACCCTAGGAGGTTAAATATATAATTTTGCAAGTCAGGTATATCACCTGGCATGGTACTTTACCTTTGGTCATTGTTATATATTCTCACCAGGACGTGGTTGCCAGCTAAGTAAATGTACAAACAGTAGGTATCAACACTAATCAGTTAATATTGTTAGTTTAATCGATACTTGAGGGCTATATCTTCCAGTTCCCCCCAGTGATCTTTTCTTCTCTCATCCTTTTGCTGTTAACAACTTTTAGAAGTTTTATTTATTCCCAAGATCTGAGCATCTCAAAGATATGTTTCAAGTCCAAAACTTATCAGATCTGAGCATCTCAAACATATGTTTCAAGTCCAAAACTTAGTAGATCTGATCAACCTCTAACAAAATTCTTGAATATCCGGTCAAGGCTATAAACTTTTTAGATCATCTCTCTCTCTGATTGAGAATTTGTTAGTTTTTTAATATAAAACATGATAATCTTCTCTTTTTTTGGGTTTGATATGTTGTAAGAGTATCTGGTTCTTTTTTCTTGTTCACTCTTTATGTTAGCTTTATTGACTTTAATTGATATCTTGTCATATATTGTTGTCATTATGGCTGATAAAATATTGCAACATTCTAGTGATGAATTTGTTTTTCTAGAAAAAAGAAATGTAACAAACAGTTGTAAATCATATGGTGCCTTTTTATTTTTCCAAGTTTTTACCAACCGCAATTGCTTTGTTATAGTAAGCGAAATGTTAATTATTGTACCGTTTTATATGGAAATTTATGGTTCCAATGGAGTTCTGGAATATTATGTTATGCTGAATTTTTTACTCACTTAAGCTATTCTTATTGGTGCTGAAAGTGTAAGTAATGCAACTATTAAGTTAAGCTTATTTCTTCTATAGTATGATACTGACAACTGTAAGGCATATATTCTGGTAACGCTGCACGTGGGATTTTCGTATTCTTTTTGCATGAATTAGTTTCCTGCATATTCTGTTCTTTCCCTTAAAAGATATATTCTTCTCTTTTTTTTTTCCCCCCCCTCATTTTATCAACCTTCTGGCACATTCTAGTTTGCGGGTGCTGCACAGTCTCTGGGTGCTGGTGCAATCCTTGTGAACCCCTGGAACATTACCGAAGTTGCTTCTTCAATAGCCCAAGCTTTAAATATGTCAGCTGAAGAAAGAGAGAAGCGACATTGGCATAACTATATGCATGTGACAACCCATACTGCTCAAGAGTGGGCTGAAACTTTTGTAAGGTAAATATCAGTGTCATTACCTTTGAGTTGGAACTGAATGATGAATTCCTTCATATTTTTGTCATCTTTTATCTTTTAGCAAAAATAAAAAGCATCACTTTTCTTTTTTACTTTGCAAAAGTAAAGATTTTGGAGTACATTACGTGCAATTTATTAGAGTAAAGAATTTCATTTAGTGTGAGAAGATAGTTTCACTTTTTCTTTTTCTTTTTTTTTTATTTTTTATTTTTCCTGGTAAGAACTTCATTGCCAATTTCAAGTCCCTAATATGCATGGTTCACTATCTTGGCGTATTAATTTTGAGTTTACTTGAAAGTTTCACTCTTTTGTAATTTAGAGTTTGCATAGAATATTTCATTGTTACATCCCTAACCAGGTGAATGGTTCTCCTGTTCTCCAATTGATTAACAAGGCTCTATATTCTGAATCCATATTAAGTTTTTGTTATTGCAACTGTTAAAAGTTCCAAGTTTGTAATCCCACCACACTGGATCCCTCTTTGGAAGCTAAGACTATTTAGGAAATGGGTGGTACATGCTCTGGGTTGGAACTTGCCCTAGCTGGATATTGCAGTAAACCCTTATGCTAGATGCATTTCTTATCCAGAAGCTCTTATGACGCTGAGTTCTTTTCAATGTCGAGGTCCTGAAGCTCAAAGGTGTTAATTTGGTGGCTAAAGCAAGGGGCTGGCAAAGTTGGATTCACCCCCCCGCTTTCTCGAGGACCACATCATCTGCTTTGGCCCTCCCCAACGGAAAAGGGAGCTGACATCATCTGCATGCATGTGTTGCCTGTAGTGCAACCCCAATGAACCTTAATGATGCAGTCACACTAGTCCAGCCAAATGCATTGTTATTGGTCTTGGCTCTGCAACCCAGTTGACCTTACCAACGCTGGAAGCACTGTATCAATTCAAAGAGACTCTTTTTAATTGACCAATCAATTCCTAAACCGGTGGATACTCCTGGTAGAAGAGGAGATCAAATTAGAGAAATGGAACTTAAGTTGTATCCTGAGATAAAAGAACCCTTGACAGCACTAATTTATATCCCTGGGCCTAACAATTTCCTCATCTCTCTCTCTCTCTCTCTATCTATATATATATTTATATCCCAGGTCTGCCCCAATCTTGTTCAACCCATCTCCCTTATTGTTCCACCAGATTTGTATCATCTCCTAGATCATAGAACCCTTCCACCGACATTAGTTATTCATTATTATAGTATCAGGTAAAATGTTCAAGAAAATTAAAAGATTTTCTTTTTGGTATTTGCTTAACTTTATTGTAGAAATTAACACTATTCAAAACGCCAAGTTTCAATCATTTCCAATCCCAAGGAGAAAAAGAAGTCCATTTATTAGCACTATTACAAACCTTATTTTCTGTTGGCATAATTAAGTATACTTCTTGACTTGAACACACTTTCAAATCATTTATCCAAACGCTACCCGTTTGAGAAGCCTCTGAGGATGCTCATGTAAGAAGCACATTTCTGCAAAGTGCTTGCTTTAGCAACAATCTGTCCTTAATGTAACCAAATTTTCCCTATTGTGTATTTCTTCAAAAGTGCAGCATTGAAATAGATTTGGAATTTACTGCAACTGTCAGTATTAGCATAGAGTTCTTTCATTTTGTCACCTTGTAATATCGTTGTTGACACCAACAAGCCAGTGGCCTAGCGGTGTCAACCTCTTACTTCCCAAAGGGAGGTCAGGGGTTCAAGTCTCAGTAGAGACGTGTATGTGAGTACCAACTATGAAAAAAATAATAATAAAAAAATAATAATAAAAAATAAAACATATCGTTGTTGACTCTGGCTGAATTTATTTTGGAAAATACCCAAAAATGGTGAAGAAAGTAACCCCTGATCTTAGGATACCATTTAGAATTCATGACTAATTGTGGTGGGCCGAAACATAACCAACATTCTGAGTGACGGGTGTGTTATTAAATTCATAACTTCCGAGACAGTTGCTCCTGATCTATGTGCCATACACAGTAAAATATATGTTTCACAGATATAACTATACCCCTGCATATTTTACGAGTTATTAAGAAAATAAAGTAAAATATGAGACACAAAATGTCTAGTTTTACTACATCTGTGCAGTTTAAAAGAATGCATCTTCTATGTAAAACTATGGTTAGTTACTCAGATTACTCGAAATTTGAGCTTCTTTCTATTGGTGTTTGTAGTGAACTGAATGATACTGTTGTCGAAGCTCAGCTAAGGATTAGACAAGTTCCACCTTCGCTTCCAGTCAACGATGCAATCAATCATTACTTGCAGTCCAATAATCGGTTACTCATACTGGTATGCACTGTTTCATACTGGAATTCAAGAATTTTTAAAAATTTTCTAATCTAATAAAATCTGTTCACTTTTTCTATGGGCAACTCCTCTTTGATTAATTAATGATTCTTTGAATTTCAAGTAACCATGTCAGCAGAATAGTGAATATATATATATATTTATGGCTTTTAGTTGCATCAGCACATGGCTACTTGGTCGAACGTATTGAATTACAAAACTATTGAGGGTTTTTTTTAAAAATACCCACTTTGAAGTTTGAATAAGTTGGTGGCCCTTGTAATTTTTTAATTTTGTTTTGTTTCTTCGTGTCAGCTCAATCCCATTCTCAAGAAAATGTGCCTTATATATTTGACTATCTTAACCGTAGTTTGGTGACACCATCAGCATATTTGATTCTGAATCTCAGTGCTGAAAGGGTTTATCGCCCCACCTCCCCCCACCAGCTTATTGGTTATAGTCTTCTCACAGATTAGTGATAGAAACATGCTTTTCAATACTCATTGGTCAGGTGTCACAAAGTTACCAGTCTGTAGGAAAATTCAGATCCTGAAATTTGATGAGGAAAGGTTTCAGAAAGGACAAGAAGTCAGAAATTCCAAACCCCCATGAACTTCTCCATCCGGATCTGATGTGCAACAAGAACCTTTAACAGCTGTCCACTAAGACTACTTTAGTGTCTCGATGCCACGTTAGTTGGTCTCAGTGGTTCGGGAATCCCATACCCACATACTGCAATACGAAACTAGTTTTCTTCTCAATTCTTCTTCTTTGAGCTTTCACCTATGAATTGGTTTGGGCTGTTTACATTAATAATAAAAGAGAATTGTCCGTTTTTTAGTCTTAAGTGATAAAGTTATGTCCAAACTTTTATTAGAAAACAGCAAGAACAACGAAATTGTTGTTGACTTATTCATTGACAATTTGCTTCTTTTTTTTTCATTAATTCAATGAATTATTGCAAATGATTTCTGAATTTCCAGATGTTAAACAAATTTTTTACAATGAACAAATGTCCTCCTATATCTGTTTTAAAATAAATTAATAAAGATCAACAGTGCACCTATGTTATGGTGTTCTATTAATTTACAGGGATGAATTTTCACTTTGTTGTGTTTCAAAGGTTCAACGGTCTTAAGCACCAACTTTTGTAAACTTGTATTTTTTCGGTTAGAATCTAATTCAACTAGGGGACTGTTGCTTCTTTGTTTTCTCATCTTGGTGGTGATTGGATCTACAGGGATTCAATGCAACATTAACTGAACCGGTGGATACTCCTGGTAGAAGAGGAGATCAAATTAGAGAAATGGAGCTTAAGTTGCATCCTGAGCTAAAAGAACCCTTGATAGCACTTTGTCGTGATCCAAGTACAACTATTGTTGTCCTGAGTGGAAGTGACAGAAGTGTCTTAGATGATGTATTCATTTCTCTCATTTTTGTATTACTTCCTATCCCTACTATGTCCAATTCTGATGTAAATGATTGCTTTCACAGAACTTTGGTGGGTACAACATGTGGCTGGCAGCAGAAAACGGGATGTTTTTGCGCTTTACAGAGGGAGAATGGATGACAACAATGCCTGAGCATTTAAACATGGAATGGGTTGACAGTGTGAAGGTATGTCGATGTGTGTTATTGAGTTCATTAGTCTTTCCACAGTCTCTTACGACCTCTAAATTTCTGATAATTTTAGTCAACTTTAAAGCATGTTTTTGAGTATTTCACGGAAAGGACTCCTCGATCACATTTTGAACTCCGTGAAACATCACTTGTATGGAATTACAAGTATGCAGGTACTCAATTCGTTTAATCCCGTTTCCTTTTCAGGTTAATGTTTTCGAGCATCTCTTATTCTCACACTCTCTCTCCGTGTTTCTTGTCATCTTATTGTGATTGTAGATGTTGAATTTGGAAGACTGCAAGCCAGGGATATGCTACAGCATCTCTGGACAGGACCAATTTCAAATGCATCCGTTGATGTTGTCCAAGGTAGCCGATCTGTTGAAGTGCGAGCAGTTGGTGTTACAAAGGTGATTGGCTTTTAGTTATAATCAACTTGTTTGAATTATTTAAATTTATGTAGTGTGTATTTGCGGAAAATATATTTGTTAACTATTTGACCCCTTATTTTGCATACAGGGAGCGGCAATTGATCGTATATTGGGAGAGATAGTTCACAGTAAATCCATTCCAACACCAATTGATTATGTCCTATGCATTGGGCATTTTTTGGGGAAGGTATATCTTCTTTCCCTTGAAACCTTAAGCATTTTTCTGAACTTCAGTTCTGAAAATTTATTTCTTAACTCTTTGATTTTATCACATGTTGCTTAGACATGATTTTCCAAAATCTGGAATTTGAACCAATCAATCAATCGATTCATGTACTCTCCAAAATGTCAAAGATTATCATGCCTTCGTTTTTTATTCTCACATATTCCATCTTCTGTTTACTTAAAAAGAATGAAATAAAGGAACTGGTGTATCAATGTCGTTGGATTAAGGCAAATCAATTTGTAGAAACATAAATGTACATGTGCATTGCACATAGTAAACCAGTGAGAAAGCAATATTATGTAAGATTGCAGTACCTAAGCTACAAAACAATATGTCGTGGTGTGTGGACTGAATTCGACATGTTCCACTATAGATGGAATACATAGGATGGTATCATAGAGAGAATTTCCCAAAGGAAGAGCAACTTGTAATTTATGCATGAACTGTGTAAGTTCATATACTTAATACGTGACAATTGAAGATGCGATACATTAAATCTATGTTTGAACTAAATCAGCATTTTGAACTAAATTTCCTCCAATTCTAATTCCAGGGTGCTGATTATGTGCTCCCGAATGCAACAAAAGTTTAATTATGAGTTTTTTTTTTTTTTTTTCCTGAACATCTTGTGAAAAAAATTTCCTACCAAGAAACTCACACCCCGACATTGCCTTATTGGGACTTGAACCCTTGACCTTCTACTTTGGAAGGTGAGGAGGAAGTTTTGGAAGGTGAGGAAGTAGCATGGGGCTTCAACCCTTGGTGGCGAACATCTTGTGAATTGAACACATGAAAAAAGTTACTACTGAAACATGTGGCGTTCTAGACTAATTGTTAATTTACATGTGATGTAAATTAAGGGTGTTATTTGCAAGTTGACTGTGGTGCTTAATTTTTCTTCATTTTGCCTATGCCACTATATCAATACATTTTGGAAAAAGAGATATGCTGGCTCTTTCAATATGATGGTTATTAACTTTGCTTCAGGATGAGGATGTGTACACATTTTTCGAGCCAGAGCTTCCCTCTGAAAACATGGGTATTCCTAGAAGCAAGGTATCTGATACATCAAAGCTACCCGGAGAGAGAAGACCACCTTTGAGGCTTCCAGCCAACAGAAGCAATTCAAAATCATCTCACAATAAGAATCAAAAACCTTTGCCAAACCCAGATAAGAGAACCAACAACCATATCTGTGGGAGTAGGAAGTCTTCTCCAGAAAAGATTTCATGGAATGTGCTCGATCTCAAGGGGGAGAATTACTTCTCTTGTGCTGTTGGGCGGACCCGTACCAATGCTCGGTATCTCCTTGGATCATCAGATGATGTTGTTGCATTCCTGAGGGAACTGGCTGCGGCATCTACCTGAACTTGTTCATCGTCAATTAGAGATATATCATGCCCTTGCAACTTCGGAATTAAAGCATGGCAGTCATCCAGGAAGCTTTCTTGTTGCAAGCTCAATAAAGGCATTTAGTAGTTTTTACAAACTAAGCCATCTAAAACCTCAGTATTGATTAAGAATTTCAAACATATAGGAAAATGGTTTTTCGGTGCTCTCTCTCTCTCTCTCTCCCACACACACACACACACCAAGCAGGTAAGAATCTTTGGTGTCCCAATGAGAAGGAAGCAAAGAAAAGCACCAAGAGATTTGAAGCAAAGAATCTTTGCCACTGCTCTCTTGAATTATATCCACGAGCTGATCAGGCTGTGACCCTAAATTGGCTCCATAGGCTGTTTAATCCTTTGTGCCTGAAAATTGGTCTAGTTTGCCAGTAGTTCTATGGGTGTCACCATGTCAGTGAGCTCTCTCTCTGTATATATGTGGTACTCAGAGAGTCCTAATCACATCTCGATTTCGAAACAAAGTTGGATTTTCTTCAGGGTTGGACCTGCTGGTCTGTTGTCTTTGTGAAAGCTCTCATTTTAGAGGGTCTGGAATCTGAAGATTTTTGTACCAAATTCTGGTGAAAAGAGAGACTACTTAAAAAGCATCAACCCTTTTATCCCACAATCAACCCAATCATTTCACAAGTTAAAATCTTGAAAATTGGAGTCTCTGTAACGCATGACAATGAAGACTTGAAAATTTGCCGCATTTTCACGCATCAATAAAATTTTTGCACGAGTTCTTTAACAAAGTTGGTAGTTTTTGGACATTCACATGGGTTTAGTTCACTCTTTAACTTCGAAGTATCAAAAAGATCATAAACCTTGTGAAAGTGAAGCCTGAAAAAAACTAATAATAATAAATTTTTAAAAAAAAACATATACTATTCCAAAGTCACAAGGGTTGTGATATTTTGCACTTGTTTCCTCCAGAAAAGTAGTACTTGGGACTTATTTCAATTGGGTGAGTAAATAAACGTATAACTCAATTCAAACGATTTTTTAATCAGCCTTTGATGCCAAGATAAATGAAAATTAAAGGAATGCAAGAATTAGTATTGAACAAACAAATGCATATAATAGAATCCAATAGTGATTAAGGTTCACAATGACAACAAATATATGAAGAACTCGATCATTCCTCTCAGAAGGGAATGTAAACAAATCTAAATTTTAACTATAATGAAAAACACTTTGAGCAGTCCTTGTAACCATCTAGATTCTAAAAGAGTAGTAATAACGGGATGAACCTGAAAATAATGACTTAACATGATCAACGCTACTAAACGTAATCTGAAACCATAATGCCAAGTGCAAAGTGTGGAATTGGCCCTGAGATTTACAACCCTAAAGTGCTTATTTTGTAAAAATCTTCTTGTTGGGTTCAAACACATACTTGATCAACGACTCCTTGATTGAAAGCAACTCAGGGAATTCATTCTTCATCTTGGATGCGTCCATCTCATTGTTGCTTCGAGCGGCAACTATCACCTTGGCTTGCTCTTCCAGTGTGAAGTTAGCCCACTTGAAGCTGGGATCAATGTACTTTTTGTACATCTCAAGAATCTCATTGTGACTCACAACACCAGGGTTTGTAAAATTCCATATGCCCCTCAGGTTCCGCTTCGCCATCTCAATGGAAATAGGAAGAAGCTCATCCAATATGGTCATGCTGTTCGGAATGTTAACCACTTTATTGTAACGTGAAATCTTAGTAATGAAATTGCGAGGGTTGTTGAGGTCCGAGGATATTGGCATTCGGACTCTGAGGGTGCAAACATTGTCATACTCCCTTAAGAGCTCCTCAACCTGGTTGAAAAATCAAACAAACTACATGAGTAAACATAATGAATATGAGGTTTCGAAAGATGTATTCAATTACAACCCTTCATTGAATTAGAATGAAAGTGAATATGCAAATTTACCATGGCCTTGGTTTTGGAGTAGAATGAACCAGCGAAATTGGGCTTGTCTTCCTCCTTATACCCAATGCCAGAACCTTCTGGATGAGTAGCATCATATTCAAATATGCATCCAGTAGCAAAATTCATCATAAGAAGTCCGTTCTCTCTGCAAACATCTGCTAAGTTTAATGTACCAGCAACATTGGTACGGATTGTTTCTGTTTTATGAGATTCACACCAATCAACGTTGGGTCTACCAGTCACACCAGCAGCATTAAAAACGTGAGTAGGCTTAACATTCTGAATATCAGCCAAGAGTTGTGACCTATCCTCAAGACGCCCCCTTCCATACTCATAAGGAATCCCTTGTTTCTCACATAACTTTCCAAGAAGGCCACCAATCCACCCGGTCCTTCCATAAATCAAGAATTTGAAGGTGGGTTTTTCAGGAGAGCTGCTTTTGGAAACTGGAACCACCATTCGGGTTTGATTAGGATTACTTGAAAAATGAGAGGATTCTTCATTGCATTTTTCAGGACCATCAAAAAGTCTCTCAATCCCACCAGGCATCATCAGCATTCTAGGATGAGGGAGCAATGCTCCAGAAACATCCCCCCACCAATCAGGGTTGCTGGTGTACCACTCCATGGTCTTCTTCAACCCCTCTTCCCACGTAGTCTGCTCTGACCACCCCAAGTTCTTCAACTTCTCATCATCTAGGAAGTACCTCTGGTCATTAAATGGTCTGTTGTCCACAAACTGAATGCTTGATTCTGGGTCCATTGAGAATAGTTTGCATATATCTTTAGCGACATCAATTACCCTCCTTTCCTTCTTTGTCCCAATATTGTAAACATGACCAACTTCTCCCCTATGAAGAATGACTTCAAAAGCCTCAGCAACATCCTCACAGTAGAGATAACTCCTCACATTAGAACCATCCCCGTGAATTGGAAGGGGTTTACCTCTCATGGCTAGGAGGATGAACTTTGGGATTAATTTTTCAGGAAATTGGTTGGGACCATAGACATTGTTTCCTCGAGTGGTTATCACAGGTAAACCATATGACCTGCCATAAGCCATAACAAGCATTTCTGCCCCAGCTTTTGTGGCAGAGTATGGGTTTGTAGGAAGGAGTTGAGAAGCTTCATGGTTTCCTACAACAGCATCCTCATCTGTCTCCCCATAAACCTCATCCGTGCTAACATGGATGAACCTTCTTATTTGGCCAGTGACTTTGCAGGCCTCTAGAAGGACATGGGTTCCATAAATGTTGTTTTTGGTAAACTCAAAGCTGTTACCAAAGGAGTTGTCGACATGAGTCTGTGCTGCAAAGTGCATTATTGTGTCGATGGACTCGGTGATGAGGAGGAAATTGACAAGGTCTGCACTGCCAATGTCCCCCTGCACAAACTTAAAATTGGGTGATGGTCGTGATGGAAGGAGGTTTTTAAGATTTGAACAGTAATCAAGCTTGTCAAGCACAATAATATTGTATTCAGGGTAATTCCGGATGAGCCGATTAGCAACATGAGAAGCAATAAATCCAGCAGCCCCAGTAATGAGGATGTTCTTGGGGGTATATGCAGCCATATCAAAGCAGCCTCTAAACAAGACAAATTGCAAAACTAAATTCAGCTCCACAAAAAGTAACCGTAGAATGCTACAAAATCCAAGCACTGATTTGCTAAGGAAATACAAAAAAATTCATACCCAATGACATGACCTTCTGTTACCCGATACATTTGGAATCAAAATAAACATGACCTTATCAAATAATACACTTCATATAAACGCTTTCACCAATGAAATCACATAAGCAACCAAATATAAGACACCCTCTAGAAGCATTTATGGCGTGTAGTATAAAAAAGACAAAGCATTGAAAAGAGAACTAAATCTATCAAAGCAGAGCTCTCTTTCTAAATATAGAAAATCAAGAGATAAACAACTGATATTAATGGAAACTAAAGGTAGTTCAATGATCAAATCATTATAAATAGTAACTCAAACAAATCCAATATCGATCAGCACAGACTAAAATCGAATCAGTAGTATCCACATTTAGTTCAACGCAGATCACTAGAAAGAAAACAACTCGAAATTATTAGATCCTACACTTGATCCTTTAATAACGATTAAAGATAAAACAGATGTTTTCACACACAAACACGCATATATAATCATGGATTTAACAGATCTACATTAAATTAAGCAATGACATTGCTTTAAATATGAGTTAACGGCATTTAAGATATGAAAATTAAACACATTTATCAATAGATCCAACCCAGTTAAAGAATACCCAGATCATAAAAAACTTTAATCAACTCAAAGAATCAAGCTTTGTGTTACTATAACATGATTAGAAAAACAATTAAGGGTTCAGAGTTGGATCAACAAACTTCAATCAACTCAAAAAATCAAGCTTTGTGTTACTTTAACATGATTTGAAAAACAATTAAAGGTTCGGAGTTGGATCAACTTACAAATGAATAACCAAACCAGGATCAACCACAATGGAGAGAAAGAGAGATCCCAGAAGAAGATAGAGAGAGAGAGAGAAAGCGATTCGTACAAGCAATGATGAGGAACAAAGAACGGAGATTTACGAGAAGAGTGGAGGCTTAAGAGAGGCCTATAAATGCATATCGTAGTAGCTCTCTCCGTCTCTCTGTACAATCATGCAAATCCAAATCAGAGACGGTTAAGGAGAGCCATCGGGGAGTTGAATTGACTTAAATGCCCTATGTCGGTTGGGTTATTTACTTCACGCGTCTTTCCTTGTGGGCCGCATTTTTATGAGGAGTTATTGCTACCTTCCACGGGAATGAAGGGTAGGTCGGTCATAACAGTAGTGTCCCCACACTGTGTGAATGGGCCCGGTACTTTGTTGCTCACTATCGTGTGAGTCTAAGGTTTTTGGCAACATTTCCATTGGCTGAAATAAATAAATAGTTACTTTTTGCCCCCCAAACAATTTCCTTTTGAATCCTTGTTTTTGAAAGGAAAATAATAATAATAATAAGAGCCGCGGATTAAAATTTGGTAAGCATGTAAATTTGGTATTTAGATAATGAAATTCGATAAGTTTTTTTTTTTTTTTTTTTAAATGGAATTAGAAAATAATAAAATTTTAAACCATTGACAACATTGTGATTTATAGATCATGACTCTTCATTATGGTTTTGTAATTAATTTTTGTATCCAAAATTCGATTGGGATTGAGAAAAGGGTAACTATGATTAGAAATGAAAATAACTTTAAAACACTAATGCCACATTAGTTTGATATAATTTTAAAGGAATTGTATCTTGACGTGATGGGTAGTTATATATTTTATTTATTTGAATATAATCTTTTAATTTATTTTTTATTGGCATTGACGTTATCAACCAATGCTTCATACCAAGAGTGCTTTCTTGAACAAGGAAGGTAGATTTGTTTAAATAAAAAATAAAAATTTAACGATATGAATGTGCGAACTAACTTAAAATAGTTGACTTCTTTTTCTTTGCGCAAAAAAAAATGAAAGTACTTTAATCAATTTATTCTTGTGGTCTTGTTAACTTTCAACCAACTTTAACAGAAATGAAATTACTTTAATCAATTTATTCTTGTGCTCTTGTTAACTTTCAACCAACTTTAATATATATATATATATATATATATATTTTATGTAGAGTTGTTAAAAAATTGCGATTATTAAAAAACATGTTAAATATTTGGTGACATATTACAATAGGTACTTTTTAAAATTAAATTATTTTTTAATTTATTTGGTAACAGTATTTATTTAAACTATTTTATTACTAATTTTACAATAATATCCTTTAATAAGATGTTTTCATATTTGATAATAGCAAAAGTGGTGTAATTGTTTTTTATAAAAAAAAATAAAAAGTCAAAATTATCTAATTAAAAAGAATTTCCTAAAATATTCAACATGTACCAAATTCTAAGTTAAGTCAAATGTTCTATCACAAGCTAACTTTGGTAACCACTAAAAACGCTTTTAATAATTACCAAACACATATAAACACTCTTTTTTAAAAATAAAAAAATAAAAGTGCCTTTTAAGCGGTAAAGAAGCTTCTTTTTTTTCTTTTTCTTTTTTCTGCATATAATAGTTCATCTCATTTTTGGGCAATTTTTGAAAATTTAAAATGGAATTTAAAATTAGGGAAAGCAATGAATAATCAAAAGATTTTTTTTTTTTTTAAGGAAAAGAATGTTAAGATTAAAAGTTAGAGGAAGCCCTAATAGCATGAAGCAACTCATTTGCTGGAATGCAAAAGGCTAAAGCGTTCACAATAATTAAAATAATAAATAAAATAGATGAGATGAGATGAATTTACAACATTCTTAATATACATACTCCATTATAAATGTAAAATGTCACTAACGCTTTTTGTGATGGGACAATGAAAAACTCATAGCTTGTGGTTTCACATGACCTTTGCTTGATTATATGAAGTTGGGATATATTCCAGATTTTTATTCCTAAGATGCCGACACAGCTAGCTAGATGCATGATGCATCTCATTCAAATAAAAACATAACCTACCATGGAGATTTTGTCACTACCACATATGAACTTATCAAGGCCCTTTGGCCCTACCAATTAAGAGACATTTATAACCTAAATTACATAATTACTTTAAGTTCTGCGTCCCTCTCACTCTAGTTTCTATTTTATGTGATTTTCTAAAATTACACATTAATTAATTGAATGTCTCCCACCATTATAAAACATTTAAAATATAAATTTATAAGACAAAAGTGTCATTTTAATTATTTCTTCTCCTCCTAAATTGATCTATGCGCGCGCCCACATATATATCAATAAAATTCTTGTAATGGATTATGTTTATTTATTTATTTTTTAAAATTGTCTGTTGGGAATGGATTCTTTTCTTTCTTTCTTATTTTAATTGTCTTTTAACTATATATTGAATGTGTGTGCATATATATATATATACACACACACACATACATATATATGAATTTATAATAGAGATATATATAGTAAAGTAGTTGTTTGTTTATATTTAGAGACTCAATCTATATATACACTAGTGTGAGGGGAGAAAAGAAAAAAAGAAAGAAAATAAATTAGGTATTTAGAAGTTACGTACTCGTTTCTATTCTTACACTCGCTTTATGTGACTTGATTTATAACTCACATAAATATAACTTGTGTTGGGTAAAAAATAATAAAAATATAATTTCTAACAAATCAGAGCATATTTTGTGTTTCTTTCCTTGAAAAAAAAAAATGAGCTGATATTATGGCTCCAAAAAAGTTGTAAGGATCCTCCTATTGAAACTGTAGAGAGTCGGTCATCTCTCCTTCTCTCAATTATTCTCTCTCACGAACCATATATGACTCCATCATCTTACCTCGACCCCATTCTAATCACTTCCACCATTCACTATTCTTGCACAATAAATAAACTATACACGTCTTTTTACAGAAAAGCCATTGCCATGGTTCAAACAATCCTTACCTCAACGAAACTACTGCTAACCTCTTAAAAGGGTGAGGTGAAGTACGTATTCATTTGATTATGTTCTATTTCTGTAAATAAACTCTGTAAGGTTTGATTGCCAAACCAAATAAAAATATAACACAAGAATATTATAAGAATCAGACCATGTTAAATGAATATCCTTTTTAACTTTCTCCTCAGTGATGCAATACAAAGTTCGAGCTAGCATATATAAATGAGTATATATATTTATGGATAATAATTTTTGTTCCTTTTTTTCACTATTGCAACACAATGTTCATAACGGTGAGAAATTTAGGCATGATAATGAGTTTGGATGCAGAAACATCATTTGTCAACAACAATGCAAGGGAGGAGGGAGACAGAGAGGAATTCAAGGTTATTTATGCCAAAAAATTTATTTAGGTATTTAAGTGGAGCTTCTGAATACATTAATATAGCGTCAATATCATCACCCATTAAAAAATTGAGTTTGAATAACTACATATATAGGCATTCAATTATTCCTATCTTCTTTTTTTATTCATTAAAAGTTAGTTGAAAAGACAGTCTGTTAAGTTTTTTTTCCCGAAAATTAAGAAAGTTTGTTAGCTTACTCATCCAAAGTTCATGTTAGAAAGAGACTTATAAAATGTTATTAATCTAGCAAGTACCAAGGAGGAACATTTAGAATAAGATTAAATAGAACTTCCAAATTTCCAATAAGTTAAAAAATAATAATAATAATAAATATAAATAAAAATTGGTGAACAATAATCATAATATATACACACACACACGAGGAACGTAATTTGATGGCAACATAGTGTGAGCTCTGTTATTCCTCTTCATTAATAATGAATTTACGACCAGCATTGTTTTAATTCCTCACAAGTCACAAGTTGTGAAATGTCTTTTAAGGAATTAAAGAGAAAAGGAAGTGAGGTGATCTAGTGTCAACTTGTTTTGTCTTTGTTTTTTGGTTTTGGTATCTATGTCAAACCTGAAATTTATGACAATCAATATTAAAAATTAGACCTACTCACATGCTAGTAATTTAATCCAAGATTTCACTTTATTACATTTTTTAAAATTCTCTATTTTGATATATATTCTGTTCAGTGAAACACAAATTATATAAACTATAGACATAGAAAGTCCAAAAATAAGAAAAACATAAAGTGAAATGAATCACAATTTTACATTTTATTTTCTAAACTTCTAACCAGTGAATTGGAAGGTGATAGTCCCAGTGACATAGCGGTGTTAAAGGAATTCTAGACGTAAGTGTTTGAGGTCTTACTTTCGAATCATACTCCAAACTTAAATGGTGCGTATATTAATAATCATATTCATTCAAATTTTAAACTTGTATTTTTAAAATTTAGTAATCTAATCCACGTTGCCAAATTCAATTTAAAAAATGGTAAATTACTCTAACTCCAATGATATTTTTAGCTTAATTACAATTGATTTAAAATTTTGCAAAAATCACTCTAACATCCCTTGTCAGAGTTTTGTCGTTAACATCACAAAGCACTTTACAATTTTATCCTCTCTCACTATGTTTATTTCCTTTTCAATACCCCTCCACCATATTCCCTCGTTATCTCTCTCCTCGCCACTTGCCTCCCTAGCCTTCTGTTATCTCCACCGTTGTCGCTATCCTCCCTCTCTCTCAACCACCACCTCCATTCCCTCTCTTCCTAGATGTTGATTGCACTACCATAATCTGTCTCCTCTTTTAAGTGTGATTGAATATAGAAAAGATATTGTGTTGAGTCTAAAACAACTCAGTTGTTAGATACTACATACATAAAGGGATCTACATGAGTCTCTCTATAACATCCAAATGCTGATGATATTTAGGCCTAAATATCAAGAATATTCAAAAAAAAAAGAAAAAAAAAAATATTATGTCATTCTATTTTTTTGTTTGATTGGATATAAGAAAAAATAATAAGTTCAAGCTTTATCACCTGAGAGAAGGGAAGAGAAAGTTTTGACTTATTTTTACTATCATATTTATCATATAATATTGTAATTTATAGAGGATAGTCTTATAATTTAAAACTTTCATAATTTAGAAAAATATTGTAATTTAAAATTTCTATAAGTATTATTCTCTTTATCCTTCTTTCCTCTTTACCAAACTAATAAAATTTGTTGTTTAATTTACATATTCGC